CAGCTCTAATCCAGCCCAGTGTAACAGACAGGCATTGCCCTAGTGCACCCACACTGAAAAGGAAAAATCCCAGAAACACAGTGAATGGCGGAATATAAAAGCTTTAAATAATTAAATAATCCAGCTGCATTTATCAGTGTAATGACGACAATATACTCCAAACCCATGTAGTTATTATATAGTATGGGGGACAAAACCAGCAATTGCAGAACCACATAATGAAGAACCCATGGGGCCAAGCAAATCTCCCAAGTACCACTTTCTGGAGCTGACTATCCAAATACGCTCTGCTCACAGCTCAGTCAGTCACCCCAGAAGGATACCATGGTTGATTGTATCCAAAGGTTCTGAGAGATCAAAGACAAACAACAGAGTCAATGCCAGCCCCAATCTTTCTCAAGCCATAGGTCATTATGTGGGGTCATCAAGGTTGCTTGTGCCAAAAACTGACTGGAACCACAATAGAAATGAATTCAGATAATCAATCTTAATTCAAGAGCATCTGGACTTAGTTGGCAACCAGCTGCTCAGGGACCCTGCCCAGGAAAGGAGAATTTTTCCACCAAGTTGAGTTGTAAAGATCTTTCAGATTCAGGGATGAGTTATTCAGTAGTAGTCTAAATTGGCTCTTTCAACTGCTTAGTGATTTAATGGCAGTGCAGTTACTTTTGTTTAATGTTAATCTTAATTCTGAAGCCACCAGTGCTCAGCCTGTTACTTTAGCAACTATTATTTTACCATTCAATTTATTTTTATTTATAGTTTTAAGCCTGTCTTTCCTCAAAGGCATTTAGGGCTTTGTGCAGAGTTTTACCACTCTGATACGTAAAACACTCCTGCATGATACAGAAACCTGAGAGATAGTGATCGGACATCTTAAATGAAGTGGGATTCAAGCTCAGATAACATTTCTAATCCAGATCAGAATTGGATTACTATTCATCTGTGATTTATTCATTGAGAGCTAATATAGCTATGCCTGCTTTATAATTTAGGTATAGTAATGTAAATGCTTTTGACATAATTCAGTCAAAATTAAGCACTTTTGCATCCCATTGGTTTCATTAACAGAGTTAACAGTGTTCTTAACCATTTTCTTTGAAATTTCTGGAATGTAAATGTATTTAGCTTAGCCTAGTTCCTGCCTTTTGTAGTGATGCTGAAGGGATGTAGTGATCCCTTCAGTATGCCAGCACTGCTTGGTGGGAGACTTGCCACTGCTAATATTTTCATTTGCTGGAACAATTTTAATCTAGTGTTATGGTGCTAATTCTAAATTGACAAGTAATATGTATGTATGTATGTATTTATTTATTTAGAAAATTTCTATTCCACCCCATTCGCCAAAGCCTCGGGGTGGCTCTCAACATAAATTATTTTAAATTTAAATAATTATAAATAAGTTATTTATTTATTGAAGATGTATGTGTGGGATGCATACAATATTTTGTTTAATGCATACATGTGTACTCTGATGTCTTCATATTCCCTCATTCACATCCCATGAACTTGCAGAGTAGTAGTATTCTGGAAAATACCTTGAGCTAATTGCATCCTGTAGAAGCTCTCTCCACCTTCCTGACATTGTCCTTGTAGTCAGGCTTCAGCACATCCTAGACAGAACCAAATTAATAGGGTTCAGGTATACAGTAATGACTCTTTCACTCTCACAGGAGATTCTGTCTCCTCATGTTTGCATGGTAGCACAGCACAAGAATGGAGCTATTTGATTCCATTTTCAGTTAACTGGTTTTTTTATGTCCATACTAGGATGCATCAAAGCTCCATGGAATCAGTGTCTCTAGCATTTGTAGGCTTCCTTTTATTTATATTTTATTTATTTATTATTAGAGTCATATCCCACTTTTTCTTTTTTAAAGAACTCAAAGTGTCTTACATGATTCTCCTCTTCCTGCTGTCATTCTTATCCCCACAACAACAACAACCCCATGAGGAAGGCTGGGCTGTGAGTCTGTGACAGGCCTGAAGGCACCTAGTTGGCTCCATTGCTGAGTGGCAACTAGAACCCAGATCACTGGAGCCCCAGACCCGCACTTTTAACCACCACACCACACTAGCTCTCAGACTGAGTCCTGTGGTGCTCAGCTTTGTCTTACAAAGTGAGCTAAGCTGAAAGGAAGTTCACAAACACTGACAGTATGAAGACTATGCAACCAAACAGCCTTTTTCTGTGTCATGTGCAGCAGCACCAAAAAAAAGGGGGGGCTGCTCCCTGTGATGTGGAAGAGGGATGCTGCTTATCCAGTGTCCCTGCGGAGCTTGATTTCTGGTTAGCGCTGTGTGAATGCTGGACATGATCACCAGGAACTTGACTCATTGCAGTATTAAATTGGGCCAGAATCTGAGCAGCCAAGTCCAGGGAATCCAGTGGAGTCCCATTGCCAAAATGGATTCCTTGTATATCTCTCGTCTGAACAATGACAAATTGTTACTGGACAATAAATAAACTATACTTATAAGTAAAAAATAGTTCCCTGTTGACAAGAGAAGCATATGAGGAGTGGGGGAGCAAGCCCTGGGATGGAACACTCAGCTGTGGTTTGGCATCTCACAGTTACTCAGCTTGAAACTTCTATCGCTTAACAAATAGGATGTGGATTAGATACATAGAACGCTGGTTTATCTATGAATATAAGGTCCTATCTGAGTGCAATAGACAACATTTTTCATTATTTAATATACTAGTCTAGAACTCTGAAGTAAGCTATTACAGAACTAGTTCGGCTTTTATGTGCCCCATTCTACAGAATGTAATTAAGGGTTAGCTGCAGGTAGGTGAATTAAAAGTACATCAGAATAAGAAGTACTAAGTATACCTTTTCTTATGCTCACCAGCAATAATAACCATTTACTTTATAAATGGTTATAAGGAAAGAGTGTATGAATAGCATTGTAAAAAGGGGGCATTGAAGAAGAGAATAATACTGTCCTTCACTGAAGCATGCTGTTCCCACTCCCTTTATTCAAGCTGACTGACTTTGGAATGGTATGCTTAATGTAAATGTATTTCTCCGCTCATCAGTTACTGTTTTGCATTGAGTTAAACATGGCCATGGCCATGTGTATTACTCATGGAATGAACATGTCAAGAACTATTTTCTAAGCAGCATCAAATTTAAGTGTTACATTCACAGCTCCCAATCCATGCAAACAGTGTTTGCATGTAGCATTAAACCATGATGGAACAGTATGAGGGTGAAGCTGTGAGAGAATTTGTTTGGTGCCTTCTGCTTTTTACTCATTAGCGTAGTGATTGTATGTACAGACACAGTGCTGTATCTGAACCTTGATGAACTTTTACAGTTTGAATAAGCAAAAGCTAAGATTAACCATGGTTTATGTTAACCATGAACATAATGGCAAACCATGCTTAATCAAAACTAGCACTGAAGCTTTCAATATTCCTTTTCATGGCTGAGCTTCGGAGGAGGGCAAGGTATCAGCTAGTATCTCCTGGTTTTGAACAATTTAGCTATACAAAAACCAAAAGTGGGGTGCCAAAAACAAAATGAGCAAAAAGAGAAACAGACAAGTTTATCAAAAGTGTGAACAGCTAACATCCAGATTCTGAAAATAGAGTGAAGTAGTTTACAGAAAGAGTGGTTCTTTTTCATGTATCTGATTGCCAGTTTTGAATGCATAATTAGGTCATACAGGATTGCCCCTGAAGGAGGAGCCAATTCTAAATTGTGTTTGACTTAATCTGTATAGACATTTATTTAAACAGAGTCTGTTCTATGAAATTGAAGCTGACCTAGGGACAAGACTAAGCATGCAAATATCATACTGATCTCCTATTAGCTTAGGACAAATAGGTTACATAGAGTTACTTTTAACTTGCTACTGTGTTTCTCTTTTGGAATATTATTTTTTTAAGTAAAAGCAAGTTTCTGGTATCAGTTCTTCAAAAGTGTGCTTTCTTCTTTATTTAGCCCACACCGCCAGTCGTTTGCTCAGTGCAGCAAGCCACTCCAGCCAACAGCTCTGCTAATGAGGAACCTGCCAAACAGGTATCAGATTTATCCTGTATTATTTTTGTATCACTTTGTCTTGTACTCGATAGACATTTTAAAATAATCTTCATGTGGTCTATTGTGTTTTAGAAATCCATGTGGTCAGAGCATAAATCACCAGATGGAAGAACATACTATTACAATACTGAGACAAAACAGTCCACTTGGGAGAAACCTGACGATCTGAAAACACCTGCAGAGGTAAAATACAGTTGAAAAAAGTTCACCACTAATTGTCACTTGTTGCACAACAATTCTCAGTGGGTCATGGTGGGTTGCCATGTCATAATGAACCCAAAGTGTCCCACAGGGTAGCTCATTTTTTGGCAGCGAGCCACTCTAAAAAGGTATGACTTTTTCTACGGGTTGATCAACCCATTATGATCATTCTGACCTGAGGGATGGCTTTGGGAATCGGCTAGCAAACAAGAAAAGTAATCCTGCTGGCGCACTTATGATGCTTCCTTCACTGATGCCAGGTGGCTCTTTGAAAAACTGTTGCTGGCTTGCCACCCCTTTTCAAATTTATTTTTGATGGTATTTTGCAAGCCTGTATTTTGCATGACTGTCTAATATGACTAGTCTTGTCTGGTCAATTTTCTTGTCTGTTTCAGCTCTGAAATGGAACAGCAAAGTGGAGTAATTGAAATGGAAACTGACAAATTCAGAAAACGGTCCCAGCAACTATGTAAAAATTATCCTGTATGCAGTTTTGGCTTCTTAATCTATTTTTTACTCCACTTTATTGATACCTCTGACAGTTGAAACAGACAAGATAATTGGCTTGGCAGGTTTGCATGTATCAAATAGAAGCAAAGATGGGCCAAAAAATGTTAAAGAAAATTATGAACAAGTTGCACAAAAATAACTCTGGGGACAAAAACCAAACAGGAAACACTTAAATTGTAGGAATGCCACACTATGGAACATTTTCAAATATTTTTGTGAATATATTTTCTTTCTTAGCAAATGCTATCAAAATGTCCATGGAAGGAGTATAAATCTGATTCTGGAAAGCCTTACTACTACAACTCCCAGACAAAAGAATCACGTTGGGCAAAACCCAAAGAACTTGAAGACCTTGAAGGTAATTTTCAAAGAGATGTCTTTTTGGTCTTGGAAGTACTAGTGACTAGTATGGTTATAATCTGTAGCAATGATAGTAGTGGTAATTTTGGTTAATGAACAGAGGATTAGAACCTCCTGTTCTTCTAAATTTACACTGCATAATAAAGCACTTCATATTCTGGAAGTATAATCTGAGGGACGGAGAGGGGAGGAACCATGGTTTAGAGCTAGATTTGCCATTCTGCTGGCATAATGGTATTTTCCTCCGTCCCCTCTTTCTGTCCTCCCAATCCAGATCTGGTCTGGTGCGTTGGGAAATCTTCTGGAGTAGATTTGTGGGGTATACATATAGCTGCAGGGAGATGGAGAAGAAAAAAGTCCTCTATCACCAACAGTATTGTTCCTTGGTGGAATGACAAGTTGGATTCCATTTATTGGATCTTGGTCATGGTCGACTTTTTAGGGCCTGTTTCTGAACTTAAAGATGTTACCTTTTAATACTCAATTTTCTTCAGATTGAAATTGATAAGTTTCCCTTTTTTCCTTTTTTTGGTACAGCAATGATTAAAGCAGAAGAAAACAGGTATGTTTGAAAATCTTTTTCTTGAGGAAAAACAACATGAACCACCATGGTATATGTTAGGAAGTGTGGTATACAAATGTCACAGATAAATAATCTGATTGTTATTGTTGTTACTAGCAGTCTGAAATGGAGCATGATTTTTCTTTGAAATTTGTTTAAACCTTAGTGTATAAAGAGCATTGAAGATTGTGTAGTTATCAGCTGTCCTGGAATGTCCCTTTTAGCTAAATTAGCAGGTTTTTTTTAAAGAAACAGGTTGCATTGTTCTACAAGAAAGAAATATGGTAGAAATTTGTGACTGGAGATGTCATTTGATTGATCATGGGATTTTTAATTTGCAACTCAAGTTATTAGTTAAATATGCCTACTTGACTTATTTGTTGTGATATTCATATATGATGCAGTAGGAGCATGTTTTTGTAAATGATAAAGAAGGGGGATGCTTTTTCCTAGAGTACTTTCTATTCTATTCAAGTTTTATACATTATTCTGCTAAAAAAATTAAAAACAATTTATGGCTCAATCAAGCACATGTTTTTAGTCAGAAAAATTTTCTTATCAACTATTCTAACCAATTTATTGATTAACTATATCACCCCAAATTATGAATGGCATATAGTGAATAGAGGGAAGAAATATAGGCATACCCAGTGAAATGGGTTGCAGGATGTTGTTAGGACAGGCAAAAGAGCATTTTCCCCCACACAAGGCACAATTACTTTATGTAACTTACTACTATAAGGCATAGTAATGATCATGGGCTTAGATAGCTTTTCACAAGGATAGAGGCATTCATAGAGAACAGGTCTGTCAATGTCTAGTAGTCATGTGGAACCTCTGTATCCAAGACAGTACATCTCTGAATACCAGATGCTAAAGCAAACAATTGGTATGAGGGATGCTGTTTCATTTATGCCTTGTTTTCATGGTTCCTAGAGGCATCTGGCTGGCCATTGTTAGAAATAGGATGCTGAACTAGATGGACCTGTGGTATGATCTAGCAATGAGGGGTGGGGAAGCGGTGACACTTAGCCTAACTTCATGAGGGTGTGAGGAATTGGGAAAGGCAAGACGGAAAACAAAATGGGGTTGGAAAATGCCCTCTCTGAGAGATCATTTCAGAGCACTGACAAGAGTAATATGTCCTTCTCTGGTAGCCTGCCAGCCAGGAAGAATGAGGAAGAGTGTGAAAGAGTAGTCCTTCCCATTTTTAGATTTGGCCTGGTCAGTAGCTTCTCCTTATGGATCACCCCACAGGAATGTTTTCTCAACGGAAAACGGCTCCTCTTTCTATCTTAAACATATATTTAACTTTAGAATTCCTTATTCTTTCAAAGCCGTGAACTATTTGCAGCAACTTAGCAAAGGGTGATTCAGGGATACATAAATGGAATTCTAACTTTAAGCCAATATTTGTCTAGGAAAATAAAGTTGAAGAAATTCCTACCTTCTGGGAGATTTTCCTGCTGTCCTGTATTTCATTAGAGAACTTCAGAGATTTTTTTTGTAGTTCTTACAGTCAGAGGCCGTGTGGCTGGCAGATTCTGCAGAGGATGGCAGAGATTGGCTTGATCCATACTTTGGAAAGTCCTAAACTGGATTTTTCCCTGTAAAACCCAAGCCACACATACATTGCATACACCTTCAATTAGCAAAATTACTAATACAAATTTTATATTGTCTGTTTGTGTAGTGGTAAACCAGAAGAATCGGTTCCAACATCTGCTGCAGCTGTTGCACCAGGAGTTCCAAATGCTGGCACCACTGTTCCTGAAACTCCTGCAGCTGCACCATCAGCCCCCAGCGCTCCTGCTGTTGCATCAGCTCCTGAAGCTGAGGCGCCTTCTGTTGCTACTGTTGTGGAAAATGAAAATAGAGTCGCTGCTTCAACTGATGAGCAGGTACAGCCGCCTGCTCCTGTTGTACAGGAACAAATGGCAGAAGTTGTCACAAATTCTGTAGAAGAAGCTCCTAAACAGGAATCCTCAGAGTAAGCAACAACTTCACTAATTGTTCTGTTCTAATCTGCTCTTTTCTTCCAGAGTAGCCTTCATAGTTTGGGAAAATTAAATCTTGAATATGGCAAAGAAAAGTGAAGCAAAAAGTCAGAAAACACCTTAGTCAGTCTCTCAATTTGTGGCTGCTTTGTAAGAGGAGACAGCTTCTAAGAGAGGAAAGCGAAATAGATTGTCTCCCTGATTCCTCGTCCTCCTCTACAAAAAAGATAAGAGGGATTGAGTAGAATACCAAATAGTTCTTATTCGTGGTCTCTGTGCATCACACACAGGGGTTCTGCACCTGCGCAAGGCCTAGATCAGGAAAGCTTCAATAGCCTAGTGTGCAAGAGTGGGCAGGATCCCCTCCCCTTCCAGTTCCTGGGTATACAAGGGAGCGGTTCCTGCTCAGTTGCTTTTCGATTGCACAGTGCATAGACTGGGAAGCCATTTCTGCTTCACTCTTGCTTTATACTGCTTAAGTACCTTACTGTTTTTCTCCTTGCTCCTCTTCATGCCTTCTCTTACCAGCTCGTCCCTTCTCTCACTTTTGAGGGTGGGGTGGGGGGGAAGAGAGAGAGAGAGAGAGAGAGAGAGAGATACACTTCTCACCAAAAATATGTATTTTCCTACCAAGCTTTCATAGAAGCATAGAACAGTAGAGTTGGAAGGGGCCATAAAGGCCATCAAGTCCAGCCCAACTATTGCAGGACACCACATTACACCATCCCACTCAGATGGCTGTCCAGTTTCTTTTTGAATGTCTTTAGTGTGGGAGAGCCCACCACCTCTTTAGGAAACTGGTTCCATGGTTGTATTGCTCTGACAGTGAGGAAGCTTTCCCTGGTGTCTAGCCTGAATCTGGATTGTCGCAACTTGAACTGATTATTCCGTGTCCTACACCCTGGCATTAGCAAGAAGCGATCTTGACCTTCCTCTTTGTGACAGCCTTTGAAATACTTATAGAGGGATATCATGTCCCCCCTCAGTCTTCTCTTCTCAAGGCTGAACATGCCCAGTTCTTTCAGTCTTTCCATAGGGCAGTGTTTCCAAACACTGGATCATTTTTGTTGCCCTCCTCTGGACCCTTTCTAATTTGCCTGCATCTTTCTTAAATCTTGGATCCCAGAACTGGACACAATATTCCAGATGAGGTCTGAATAGTGAGGAGTATAGTGGAACTACTACTTCTCGTGATTTGGAAGTAATACTTCTGTTAATGCATCCCAAGATTTCATTTGCCCTTTTGGCAGCTGCATTGCATTGTTGGCTCATGTTTAGCCTATTGTCCACAGTTACTCCAGTATCTTTTTTTTTCCAGTTCTGTTGAGCCACATATTCCCCATCTTGTATCAGTGCATTTGGTTTCTTCTTCCTAGGTGGAGAACTTGGCACTTGTCCTTATTGAATCTTATTCTGTTGCTTTCAGTCCAGTGTTCAAGTTTATCAAGATCGCCCTGGATCTTCATTCTGTCTTCTAGGGTGTTTGCTATTCCACCCAATTTTGTATCCTCTGCCAACTTGATTATCTTTCTTTGTACTTCCTCATCTAAATCATTAATAAAGATATTGAAGAGCACTGGGCCCAGGACTGAACCCTGTGGCATCCCACTAGTTACCTCCATCCAATTTGAGAAGGTGCCATTGATGAGCACTCTTTGTGTCCAATTTAGCAGCCAATTTTGGACCCACCTAATAGTTTTTCCATCTAGTCCAGTTTTTGCTAATTTGCTTATCAGAATGTCATGTGACACTGTGTTGAAAGCTTTGCTGAAGTCTAGGTAGATTATGCCCACAGTGATCCCTTTGTCCATTTGCAAGGTTACCCAGTCAAAAAATGAAATTAAATTAGTCTGACAGGATTTATTTTTGATAAATCCATGCTGACTTATATTAATCACTGCATTATCTTCAAGATGCTTGCAAATGGATTTTTAAATAATTGTCTCCAGATTTTTTCCAGGGATTGATGTCAGACCAACTGCTCTGTAGTTCTCAGGTTCATCTTTTTCCCCCTTTTTGAAGATAAGGACAACATTAGCCCTTCTCCTGTCATCTGTCATTTCTCCTGTTTTCCAAGATTCATTGAAGGTAATAACCAGTGGCTCTGAGATTTCCTCTGCTAGGTCTTTTATGACTCTGTGATGGCGTTCATTGGGCCCTGGAGATTTGAAAGGGTTTATTCCACCTAGGTATTCCTTGACCATTTGTCTGTAAGTCTTGGGCTGCCATCTCTCACTTTCAGCTCATACTTCCTCTTGATTGCAGATTTCCTTGTGGGAGAAAACTGAGGCGAAGTAGGAATTGAGTGCCTCTGCCGTTTCTTTGTCGTTATCACTCTGCCAGCCACTTTAAGTAGCTGGGCACCCTTCTCTTTCTAATGTCTTTTGTTCTGGATGTATCTGAAGAAGACTTTCTTGTTGTGCTTAGCTTACCTTGCTATTCTCAGTTCATTTCCTGCTTTAGCCTTCCTGATGCTATTCCTGCAATTCCTTGCTATTTGTTTATATTCTGGCCCTGCTTCCACTACCTGTAGATGTTCTTGTTTTCTTTCAGGCTGTCACCTAACTTTTTGTGGAGCCATGTAGGCTTCCTCTGCTGTCTTCTACACGTTTTTCTTGATGGAATTGTTCGTAGTTGTGCTTTGAGAATCTTCAAGATTTCCCACTCCTCTTGGACACCTTTCCCCTTAAGGGTGTGTTGTCATGGCACTTCGCTTACCATTTTTCTGAGTTTGTTAAAGTTGGCCTTCTTGAAGTCCAGGATGCTTGTTTGGCTCCAGTTACGCTTTGACTCCTTTATAATTGAGAATTCAAGTATCGCATGGTCACTTTCCTCCAGAGTTCCTTTGACTGTTATTTTGTCCACCAGGCCTTCCCTATTAGTTAGTATTAAATCAAGGATAGCTGATCTTCTTGTACCTTCCTCTCCTTTCTCCTGGAGAAAGTTGTCAGCAACACATGTCATGAATCTATTGGAGGTGTCATGCTTGGCAGAATTTGTCTCCCAGCATATATCAGGGAAATTGAAGTCCCCCATGATGACTACATCATCCTTTTTGGAAATGCCAGCATGCTGCTTTTCAAAGATTGCATCCTTGTCTTCTTTTTTGACTGGGTAGACAGTAATATGTGCCAATAACTATTTTTTTCTTATTTTTGCTCCCTTTAAATTTAGCCAGATGCTCTCAATGGGGCTACTAAGTTCTTCTTGTATTTCTGTGCAGATATATGTGTCTCTTACATATAGTACAACTCCACCTCCCTTTTTGTCCTTTCTATTTTTCTTGAACAGGTTGTATCCATCAGTTGTAGAGTTCCAGTCATGTGCGTCATCCCACCAAGTTTCTATTATTCCTATAAGATCATAATTACCCTCATGTACTATGAGCTTAAGTTCGTGTTGTTTGTTTCCCATACTCTGGACATTGGTGTAGAGACATCGACGTTCATGTTTGCTGTGCCCTGGTTTTCTTTCTTTGCTTTTTGGGAGACTGGTGTTGAGCCCTGCTTGAGGTTTTTTCTCTGTTGAAATGTATAAGTCTTTGCCACATGATGGTACGCCATGCTGCACATCTCCCTCCCCTGTAGGTTTTAGTTTAAAGCTCTCCTGATGAAGTTTTTCATGTAGTGGCCAAACATCTGCTTCCCATTCTTTGTGAGGTGCAGCCCATCATTTGCCAGTAGTCCATCTTCCAGGCACCTCAGCTTGTGGTCCCAGAATCCAAATCTCTCTTTATGGCACTACCATCTTAGCCAGTCATTCACTTGAAGGATTTTTCTTTCCCTAACAGTTCCTCTTCCTCGTACTGGTAGGATTGAGGAGAAGACTATCTGGGCCCCAGTGTGTTTTATTTTCCTCCCTAGAGCTTTAAAGTCTGAAGCTATTTCAGCAACACTTCGCATGGCAGTGTCGTTAGTTCCCACGTGGAAGAGAAGGAAGGGGTATTTGTCAGTGCCTATAGGAAGGGTTCCCATCACCCTTCCTCATTCTCCCTCTCTTGCTGCCTTCCCATCTGTGTGATGGCGTCCATGGCCTTTTGCAGCTGCACTTCGTATGAGGCCTGTCTGCCATCAACAGATAACCATTTCCTGTGGCTCCTCTGCCTTGGCAAGGAGCACATAGTGAAGTCTTGCCAGGCTTTTTAGAAAATGAACAGGGCGGTAGCCGGCAGATCAGCTGAAAGCCAAACTCTGGAAGAAGGCCACCTGTGTGGTTGAGTTGTCCAAGCAGGATGTGGAGAGGCCCTCTATCTCTATGGGCACCAGGACCACAAGGCCCAAGAAGGTGGCCACCGCAACCAAAAAAATGGCCACTGCCATGACCAAGGCTAGGGCTCCACTCCTCCCGAAAAGAGCCACTATCTGAGCTTCGCTGGCCACCGGTTCCCCAGTCCACTGCAGCTGCTCACTGACACCACAACCAAATGCCCACTGACCGGGGCCACCCCCAGCACTGGGGACCAGTCATGTGGCTGCTGTCCTTGCCCTTGTTCCAAGGCTTTCCCTTCAACCTCCTGGCAGTGCACACCGTCTCTACCACATGACCCTGTCTTGAGCACCCAGCGACTCTACTCCCAACACAGTGTCAGGGGACAGTGGCCTTTTTCTGTTCTTGTCCCACTGGAGATCCTCCATGACAAGATGTGGACCACGTATTCCTGTAGACCTCCTGCTTTTTCCACCCCCTCAGTGTTAGGTAGAACTCTTCACATCATACTGCAATTTCTAACATTCAATAGGTGGGTAACATGCATACTGGGACTCACTTGCTGTTTCTGTAAAGCAGTGGATTCTCCTCTCATAGAACTCTCTGGGCCAGTTTCAGTTGTTCTTCTAAAGTAGGCTTGGGAGAGGTATTGGGTGCGGGAGCAAAAGCAGAAGTCCTGTTGCTTGAGAAGTCTGGTGGCATGCTGTTGGATGGGACTGTGATTGTATCTTGATTGTGCAAAAGAAGGAGCAGAATGGGCTTGTAGTTCTGGGGTGACTCTGTTCTGATCACTCCCAGTGATGTCTGAGTGGTGTACAGCTGCTGGATTGTGCTTATTCTGGAACCGTTACTCCTTAGCTTTGGTGGCATTCATTTGCCTATGCTGTCACTTCTGGGTAAAGCATGGGTACTACTGTTTATACTTCCCACCCTTAATATCTGTTTCATTTAAATAGTATTGCTTTTTGCTAAAGTATTTAACATGTTTTTTATCCCTAGTGTCACCCCCAAAAAAGAAGAAGAAGATGCTCAACCTGTTAAAAAAACCTATACCTGGAATACAAAAGAAGAAGCGAAGCAAGCATTTAAAGAACTATTGAAAGAAAAGGTGCTTTGCTTATGTTAATTGCTCTTTAACATTTCAAGAAGTATAAATGTTACTCGATGTGAGAGAGTTGCTGGTTTTTTGGTAAGGAACTTTAAAGAACAGCATTCATGCTGAAATAAATATGGAAAAATGTTCTACACAAAATGAACTTGGTATAAAGTTATTTTTGCTACTTTAGTGCAATTTTTTTTCTTTTACAAAAACATATAGCAATGTAAAATGTCATTGCAAAATATTTTACACACTGCTGGAAAAAAACAGTCCTTAGATATCAGTAAATAGATAATGATGTCCTTTTATACAAGTTAGAATGATCAGTTGTTTAAGTCAGCATTCCTAAAGTCGTCATTATAAAAGGCACTTTACAGTATTTTTATCATACTGCTCAAATAAAAAGGCTGCTAGAACAGCATGCAAGTAATAAAAGACAGTTCATGCCTACAGCACACAAGTTGAAAAAGGAATAGGGAGGGGTAGAAGAAGCTATTTCAGAAGGACTAGTAGAATGGCCCTAATTGCCTTAACATAGCTTTCTGGAATAGATTCTGGCTGAATAATAGAATAGTGGTGATGATGAGAAGAAGCCTTGTAGAAGAGGTATTCATGATTAACTCTTCAAGTTATGTGATTTACTTTGTATCTTCACAGCGTGTGCCGTCCAATGCCTCTTGGGAACAAGCTATGAAAATGATAATTAATGATCCAAGATACAGGTATAACCAGTTCTTAATTCTTTTTACTCTACATTATTTTAAATTACTGCTTGCATGAGTTAATGTTAAAAAAACAGTTGAAGTCAATTCATAATTTTAAGTTACCTTTTAAGTAACTCCAAACAGGACAACTTGGAACAGTTGTCCTGTGTGGAGGTGTAAAATGAATCTCTGTAAAATAACCAATTGTAGTTGATATTACATGTGTAATTGGCTTCCCCCTTCAATTTACAGTGCTTTGGCAAAGCTAAGTGAGAAAAAACAAGCATTTAATGCTTACAAGGTCCAGACAGAGAAAGAAGAAAAAGAAGAAGCAAGATTAAAATATAAAGAAGCAAAAGAGTCTTTTCAGCGTTTCCTTGAAAACCATGAGAAGATGACATCCACAACCAGATACAAGTAATATGAACTGAATGTACAACACTAGTCAGACAGTTGGTTTTGCATATTTGACACTCTTAAGCTGTATAGCAAGGATTGTGAATTTCATTGGCAATCCTATTTTACATTTAAATCCTGTCTTACATTTAGTGCCATTTCACACCATTTTAACATAAAGGGAAATGGAAATTTGCACATGCTACTGTCCTCTGTACTCATTCATTGAAATGTGAATGTTTGTTTTTCATCAGCTGATGACAGAGTGGGAGTTTAAGTAAAAATGAAGGTCACATTGATTTTTTTCTCCCACATTTAAAAATATGGAGAAGGTAGAGTTTCCACATTTAAAAATATCTCTGAGCAGTTTAGAAGATTTTAGTATGTTAAAAGCCAGTGTGATATAGTGGTTAAGAGTGTGGGACAGTCTGAGTGGATTCTAGTGCCCACTCAGCAGTGGAGCCAGCTGGGTGACTTTGGGCCAGTCACAGACTCTCAGCCCAACCTACCTCACAGGGTTGTTGTTGTGAGGGTAAGATTGAGAGGAAGAGAATTATGTAAGCCGTCTTGTTCCTTGCACAGAAAAAAAGTGGAATATAACTGTAAAAAGAATGTTAAATACATAAGGATATACCTTAAAATGCATAATTGTAAGAACATTGATATAAAATATTGTTAAAGTCATTAAAATCAATATGATATCATAATTAAGAAACTGGGCAGTACACTTTGCTCAGGGAAAGCTTGTGGAATTTCAAAGGATAAGGCATATAAGTCTCTTTCTTGTCTGTTTTCCCTCTGATGAGTAATGTCTGCATTAAGTAATCCAAGCACTTGGATGTATCACCTTTGTCTTTGTTTCAGGACAATTTGAATGGTGTACTGTCTTTGCAGTTTAGATCATGATGTAGAACTTCCCTAATGCTTTGTGTCATTGTAAAAGAACTACAGTAGATACTCAAGAAGCGTCTTGGTGGGATTGGGAGAGTATGCCAGTGGGATGGCTGCCCTGTTTGCAAGTATGCATTTTCAGGACTGGGATGCAGGACTATGTCGGAAGAAACAATGGGAGGGAAGGAAGAATATTTTAAACAATGAAACATTAAAAATGACAAAAATAAAATGGCAGGAGCTGGAGTAACTCTTGCACTCCTTTTAATAGCTGGATGGAGAGCATGTTAGTTCCCTTTTTATTTTTATTGTGGGAAATAGAAATGCTTTTGCAACATTGAACAGGAGAGGTGCAGAATCGCATGGTCGGAATATATTCTATGTTCTTATTGTCATGGCTTTCATAAATTTGATGAAGACTCGGATGTTGATAACCAGTGGGGAAGGAATGATGGGAGCAAAGTGAGGAAAATTATATCTTCTTACTACATTAATATTTTTTGTATTTCTTCAAATAGAAAAGCTGAACAAATGTTTGGGGAAATGGAGGTCTGGAATGCAATATCAGAGCGTGATCGTCTTGAAATCTATGAAGATGTCCTATTCTTTCTATCAAAAAAAGAAAAAGTAATTATGTTTTCTTTCCATTATTGGGATGTCCCTGTCACTCTGTTCTGCTCAATTCTGCTTCTACCCATAGATAAATTTAACTTAGGATGCACTCCAGTGAGGCTGTCCCTAAGTTTCTGAACTGGGATGATTACTGGCATCGTATGCAGAATGGAAGGAGTACAAAGGAAAGATCACTGCCGTACCCAACATGCACTATAAAACAGATAGATGGCCAACTTTGGCTGTCGAGAGAGAACACTTCAGAGCAGGAAGGAAGGGAATTGAAGTGCCCCAAGATAATGTTGTATTTTGCCTATACTGGTCTACCCTCCCACCAGAATGCAACTTTCTCTGTGCTTGTTCATAGGACCTCAGAGAAACAGCTAGTGTGGTTCTTTGCACAGCACCTTTGAGGGGAGTGAAGATGCGCAGAGCTTGGAAAAGTATTTCTGCCCTCAGAATGATCCTGTGGCACTCAGGTGCTGTTTGTGGGCTATAGGCTTGATCTGCCCATCTGTATCTAATACCAAATATATTTGACATTTGAAATGTAGGTGTTCTTCAGCTGGACACAGGAAAACAATAAAATACCAGTTCTTTCATTTTCTTAGTTTTAATCATGTGTTGATCTCCTAGCAGGGTTTCTACAAATAAGAATTTCTCTTACATTTAACACGGTGCTGCGTAATGAACTGCAGTTAGTATAAAAAATGGGATACAGGAAAATGTGGTAAATCTACAGTGCAGTACTTCCTGAAAGTGGTCTTCCAGTCTGGGCAAAATTTTCATTTGAGCTATTGTAAAGACAAGCAATGAGAAGTTGTAGTCCCTTGCAAGAAAGATACATTGTACACTTCTACAGTGGTTCATGAAGTAAAAAACACAACTTTGTACAACATCAGTGACGTGATTAAAAATGTTGACCCTTTCTCTTAATAATCAACTGCTAGTGTTAGATACTAACACTACCAGTTAGTATACTAACACTACCAGTTAGATATTAACACTACCAGTTACTACCAGGTCCACCTGGCACCGTCGTTATTTGTTTTTCGGCGCCAGGCCAAGAACTTTTTATTTAAACGATATTTTAATAATTATTGATTTTATTTATTGGTTTTATAATTTTGTGCCAGGGTGTTTCCAGATTTTATATATGTATGTATTTATATATATGTATTTATAATGTTGGAAGCTGTCCCGAGGCTTATGCGAATAGGACGGCATACAAAAATTCCAAATAAATAAATAAATGAATACTAAGGATTTTATAAAAATAAATGCCATTACATTTCATGTGACTTTCACAGGAACAAGCCAAGCAGTTAAGGAAGAGGAACTGGGAGGCATTAAAAAATATCCTGGACAATATGGCTAATGTTACATACTGTACTACATGGTCAGAGGCTCAGCAATATCTGATGGATAATCCTACATTTGCAGAGGATGAAGAACTTCAAAGTAAGAATAAAAACATCCGAGTTACCTTTTTGTAGGAATGTGGGCTTAGAGTTTAGGTGGCAACAACAAATAAGGGGACAATCCTACATGTATTTAGACAGAGAAAAGGCAAATAGCAATCATGTTCGTCAGCTTTGGTGGCTGTGGCATGATGGGAAATGTAAACTTTTCTCTCTGTGCATGCATACAATTGCGCTTCAAACCATTAGAGTTTCTACTTATTGTTGTTACTTATTCTAATCTGGAATGATTCTAATTTTTATCAAGTGGCTTCATTCTTTAGCATTAATGTGGGCTGTACATGAATGAGAGAGACTTTTGGTCAAAACCTCTAAAGGGCCACAATTCCCACCATCCCTTAAACTGGCTTTGCTGCATAAATCTGCTAGTTGTCGTTGACTAGAACATTTAGAAGGCCACTCATTCTCATTCCTGCTCTTAGTCATTACAAAATTTCGGCCGGCCCTTTTCTACAACTATCAAGTGGTGCTGTGTGCTAAAAGTAGGAATAACCAAGAGTCGGCCCCATCTCTCAGTGTAGGTGATTTTGCCTTGGAGTAGGAAGACCGAAATTATTTTGCTGTTGCTCAGAGGATCCCTGTAATTATCAACTGTAATCTAGTTGTATCAGGCAATGGAAGCAGGCCAACAATAAATGGGCATAGCAGCTGTTGAGAGAAATAAGGAGAACATAAGGGCAAGAGAGCCAGTGTAGTGTAATAGTTACTAGGGCAGGATTGGGGCCCTCAGGATTGGGGCTCTGTGTTCTAGTCCCCACCCAGTCACAGATGTAACTGGGTGACTTAGGGCCAGCCACAGACTCTTAGCCCAACCTGCCTCACAGGGCTGTTGTTTTTGATTGATTGATTATATCCCATTTTTTCCAGTGAACTCAAAGCAGCTTGCTTGCTTATTTATTTATTTAAACAACTTATATGCCGCCCCATCACATGAGCCTCGGGGCGGCTTACAATCATAGAATCCCGCATAAAATACAAAAAAAAATATATCATCAAATAAATAAAATGCATAAATGCCTCTCCTTTCAATTTTATCCTTGTAACACCTGTTGTGAGGATAATAGTAAGAGGAGGAGAATTATGCAAGCCACCCTGAAAGGAAAACAGGTGGAACATAAATGTATGAATCAGATAAATAAAAGGGGGCAAAAACAACCATTAAGTTCTATACTTGTTTTTTATACTATAACCATTAATTGAGAATACTGAATGAATGATATGACTTGAGCTATGTATCTTCAGCAGAAGTAAGATCCAAAGTGGATTTGATCCAGGATCCTCTTCATGAAATGCTCCTGCTAGGGGAACTGGGGAAGTAGTGTTTTATCATGTTTCCTTCCCCCTGCAGGGAAATTTTCTCCCTGGAAATCATTCCAGGGAGTTGAGGAAGCCTCCAGAATAGAGGGGGAGTGGCAAAGGGGTGGAGTACATTTGTCTGAATAAATGTAGATAGAATTATGCATTTAATACGTAAAAGAAAATGCTGATGTTTTCATTAACTAAATATTTGTCAACATGGTAATTTGAAATAGATACTCCTTATATTTATATAAGTAGTTCCCTGAAAAAAAAAACAAAACAAAACCTCAAGCTTGAAACCTATTAGAATTTCTGATTTTTTACACTAATTTGGATTGCCTCTATCCTGTCATGTTCTTATTATAGGAGATAAGCTACTGATAGATTGAAGGAGAATAACTTTTGGAGTCCAAATCCTAAAGCTCATGTATAAGCTTTAAGCTATCTAGTTTTATACTTAATGCTGATAACTACATTTATTTCTTAAGGCTTTTCATGTTCATGACTTCATATGTAGCTTTGACTGCAGCAGTATGTAAAGTCATTGGTTAGAGTATATATAGTCATTTTTTGTTTAGTCTTTTGGATCAGTAGTTTCATTTAAGGCTGCTTTGGACACAGTTCAGATGGAATTAAAACCATGTCACACAATATTACAAGAAACCTCTGGCTCACTTTCTTTACCCCCCTCTCTCCCCTTTGGAGTTCATGAGGTGGAGACAGAAAATTTCTGCTTCTAATAGTAAGCTAATCACACTTCTCCAAGGTAGAACATCATGGAACTTTGATTAGTGAAAATGAGTAGGTACTGACTATGGTTTCAGATTCTAGTTGTCAACTCATTGTAAGACAATTTTTTTTAGAGTGTTACCAGAAATATAGATAGTTCAAAATTAGAAAAGCTTCTCACTGGCACAAAAAAAGAAAGCAGATTGTATGAGGCTTGCCTCAGCATCGTCTTGTATCAGGAAACCATGGCTTCCTCTAAACTTTGCTATGAAGTTTACATAAACTACAAAACAAAACTTTTGCCAGAAATATAGACCTGTATTTAACTTAATTTACTGGAAAAAATCCTTGATTTTTTTTAGATATGGATAAGGAGGATGCATTGATTTGTTTTGAGGAACACATAAGGGCTCTGGAAAAGGAGGAGGAGGAAGAGAAACAGAAAGGCTTACTCAGGGAAAGACGAAGACAGCGTAAAAACAGAGAATCTTTCCAGGTTAGTGACAAAACGTTAAGTATCAGCTGAACAGATGTTGGTCATTAGAGGTATTGGCTGTATTATCAAGTTTTTGGGTGTTCTTCAACATGCATATAATTAATGCAGAGAGATGTTGGTATGTGCTTTACTGATTGCAACACTAAAAATGTTGCAAATGGACGTTTGTTTTATTCTGCTGTTTATTTATATTGACATTCTCTTCTATTTTTCTTTAAATGGTACATTGTTCTTTCATGACTAACTTTCAGGAAGCTGCATATTAGAAGTGCGCATCCTCCTCATAAGTGTGAACAGGGTCAACAGGGCTATACCACACTAACCTTCTGAGAAGGAAGGGGAAGTGCACACACACCTCTGTACATCTCTCTGTGTCTCTTTATTTATACATATACATCCCCCCAACAGGAATTTTAGGTGAGGTTGCTGAGGTTTAGGTGAGATTCTTCTAAAGAATTAATCGGTCCCTCCCTGACGGGGATTCCTCACATAATAGCCCTTCCACCCCTGCACGGAAGTTTACGTACAAGTATCGCATTGGCAGTGGGGAGAGGTTTTTCAAGCCTAATAGGAAGTGGGGGGTGGGGAATTGTAGCATCCCTGAAGGAGAAGGGTAATGGTTACCTTCCTAATTTCACCCTGCCTCCCAGGTTGTCCCATCCACATAGAAATTAGGCTTTAAATATTTTCTATTGGTGCCAGTGGAAGCCTTTTTGCAAGCCTAACTGAGTTGGGGGAACCCACAACTACTGGTAAATTATTGGATCTGGAGCAGTGCTGTAGAAAAACAGCAGGTAAAAAATATCTTTTAAACTAAAGGTTGTTGAATATATAATCGTGAAATTCCTAATTTTCTGTTGGGTTATTTGCAGATATTTTTGGATGAATTGCACGAACATGGCCAGTTGCATTCAATGTCATCATGGATGGAGTTATATCCAACTATAAGTTCTGACATTAGGTTTACTAACATGCTTGGTCAGCCTGGTAAGTATATTCTCTCTTGTTTTTAGATAATGCAAGATAAAGTGTAGATTTCCTCTTGTCTGTATTATGAAGATAAAGAGGGGCAGCTGTTTGGTTAAATAGTACACCTGATTAATAGATTGTCTTTCCTTAGGCTCAACTGCTCTTGATCTTTTCAAGTTTTATGTTGAAGATCTAAAAGCACGCTACCATGATGAAAAAAAAATAATAAAAGACATCTTAAAGGTGAGACAAAATGTATTCTTAGTCATTGAAGAAAAAAATTCTGATTTTAAAATGATTAAACTCCTTTTGATATCTAGAGCTGGAATTTCACAAAGCAGTGTTGCAAGATGAGTTTGTACTACTATAGTATTCCTATGCTTTCTGATGTCATAAAGATTGTTTTGCAGGATAAAGGATTTGTGGTTGAAGTGAATACAACATTTGAAGATTTTGTCACAGTCATCAGTTCAACTAAAAGAGCTACGACATTAGATGCTGGAAATATCAAACTGGCTTTCAATAGTGTAAGATTTTAAAATTTATTTTAAAACCATAAATGTTAAGAAGATTGAAAGCACATTTAAATGATTCCAGTTTAAGTTTACATATCTGAAAATAAAAATGTAAAACGTTATTGTTACATATTAAAGCAAACTTGAAGTTCAGTGAAAAGCAGTTGTTAGGCCCAATCACATCTTGGTTTTGCATTACAAGGCTGAGGATCCTCAGCCTTGCAAGCCATCTCTTCTTCCTCCCTCCCCAGAGATCTGAGGTGAGGTCATTTCTGTACTGTTCAGATATATCTGAATGACCTCAGTTTGTGATATAAAACAAACATTTAGAAAATTGGTCCAATCTCACCAAATGGGATAATGTGGCTTTCCACATTTTGGGGGTGGGTGGGTGGGGCATTGTCCCTTTCATTGAATGGTCATTTAGATTTCTTTTGATACAGCTGTTGGAAAAGGCAGAAGCCCGTGAACGCGAGAGAGAGAAAGAAGAAGCTCGCAAAATGAAACGGAAAGAGTCTGCCTTTAAGAGCATGCTAAAACAAGCCACACCTCCAATTGAACTGGATGCAGTATGGGAAGATGTAAGTATGTTCCATAATTTTCTGAAAGTATATTTCATTTCACAGTGTTTTTAACCCTTGTTAAAATAAGACTCTAGTTGTTTAAGTATTTTAACTTGTAAAAACACTCTGGAAAAATGGAGCTGAAACCAAACTTGGTCATGTTTGATGCAGACCTATTAAAATTAGTGGGACTGAAACTGAGCATGACTTACTTGAAATTCTGTTTACATTACTGTGTGTCTTAAGTCTAGATTGAAACCAAAGTATCAAGGCACATAATGTATCAGAATCAACAAAAGGCTAATATTGTTAGTGTTTATTTCTATCTAAAGAAAATGCTTAAAAACATAAGCAAAGTCTGCAAACAAGTATCTTGTTGGACACCTCTTGTTTTTAATGCAGGATACTTTCTAGAAAGTTGTTACAGTTCATTCTGATTTACTAGGTACACGATGAACATTCAGTGGCAGAAAAACTTTTGACGTCTTACAAACTAACATGTGGAAGCATTTCATGTTTCTGTTTCTTTCGGTGAATCCAGGCTGAGGTTCAACCATGTGTAGAAATTAAGTGGAAATTCTTTTTATCACCACTATCTGACATTGGTTTTTTTTAGGGTTAGGGTTGTTTTAATTACCAACTGCCCAAATGAGATGGTTGCCCTGTAGCTAATCTAGTATCTTGCTCTTACTTAGTAGAAATGTAGTTTTCTTCCAAAATGCAAATAAAGCTTTCTTATATTTTTATTATATTTGTTTCTTTGTATTCCACCTTTAGCTGAACCTCTCTGGGTGGTTTACAAAAACTTAACTTTATCAAGTGAAGTGGCTCAGTAAAACCTTGTGTACAATTGCTTTCTTACATATAGATTCGAGAAAGATTTGTGAAAGAACCAGCATTTGAAGACATCACTCTAGAATCAGAAAGAAAAAGAATATTTAAAGACTTCATTTATTTACTAGAGGTAATATTGAACATATCATTGTACTGTGATAAGGGTCTTCTCTCATTTGCAAAAGGCAAACAGGCCAGGAAATGTATACCACGGAAGTCTTCCTTGCAGATATGCCCACTCTTATGGCTGGAGTGGGTTCACCTCCACCAAGCCGTCTTTCACTTAGCACCATGGTAGAGGCTCCAGGAGCCTCTGCCAAGGAGCCTTTGTGCTCAGTGCATCAAAGCTGATCCGCCTCCTACAGAAGAGGAGGAACAGGCTAAGTCACTCCAGCAGAGTCCTCCACCGGCTGCCTCAGTCAGGGCAGCTTCACACCTTTTGGCTCTCCCCTGGCTGGGCACCACATAACACACAGAACCCGATGTCATCTGACACAGAAAGGCCTCGCACCCAAGAGCTGTAGATAATAAGCACATGCTCATAACTCATTTTTCAAAGGAGTAATTTTTGTATTCTTTTAATGCTACAGCATGAGTGTCAGCATCATCATTCAAAGAACAAGAAGCATTCTAAAAAATCAAAAAAGCATCACAGAAAGCGGTCCCGCTCTCGTTCGGTAAGTCGCGTAATAACAATGCTCCGGTGAACACCAAAAAGTAGTGTTATCAAAAAGTAGTGTTAAACATGATGTACTCTTCTGACGTACTGTCATCAAAAAGTAGTGTTAAACATGACGTACTCTTTCTGTTTAAGGGTTCAGAATCTGAGGATGATGACAGTCATTCCAAAAAAAAGAGGCAGCGCTCAGACTCACGATCAGTTTCTGAACGTTCTTCCAGTGCAGAATCTGGTAATATTTTTTTTATTTTGTCAAAAGAAAAAAAGTTGTAAGAGTAATGACTTTAAGTACTTAATTTCTGTTTTCATTTTGTAATGAATCAACAGAAAGAAGCTACAAGAAGTCTAAGAAACACAAAAAGAAGAGCAAAAAGAGGAGGCACAAGTCTGTAAGTGTCTCATGAGTTTTGGTCTTCTCATGACAATGAATCTTTTAAGTGTATTATTTATATTTTATATTTAGGAATCACTTAAATGGTATCCACTAAATGTAATAAAATATTGTTAACTTAAGAGACACTAGTATGAGATAAAGAGAAACAAAGTATCTTATTTCTGAGTAGACCTCTATAAGCTTGTGCTGTTAACTGCAAACTCTCATTGCTGCTGTTCATAAGAACAACTCTGTAGGAGAGTATTTTAAAGACTCAGTTAAAAATAAAAGAGCATGAAAACTATGCAGTAAGACGTGTACACCTTCTGTAAGAAACAATAAAATTATGCTCTGTTCATTTGTACATTTGCAAATTGGCTTGGTTTGAAAGAAAACAATACACGTGATGTACTTGGTCTTGGTTGCAGAGCCTCCTGTGCTCATTAGACCTCGTTTTCTAGGAAATCTCAGTAATGACAGTGGGCTTGCTCTTTCAGTTAAACTTGTGTCCATAAAATTTCAGACTCCCATCTACCTCTATCAATTCTTTATGTTTAGCTTAGATGTCACCTGCCTCTCAATTTTTCATATGTTAACACGCAAGGAGAAAATGAAGCGTTGCCATTTATACAAGCTTTAGCTGGCTTAAGCCTTGCCTGGACGACTGCTGCTTTCCTTTTCTATTGATAAAAAGCGAGAATCCCAGTAGCACCCCTGTGTATGCTAAGCTTAAAAAGGGCAGGTGGTAGAATACACGCTTTTTAAGGATTAGGTTCCCAGTTCAATGTTAGGCATCTCCTGTTGAGATGATCTCAAGGTTGGAGTGTTGCTGCAACTTGGAGTAGATAGTACTTATCTAGTAAGCACTAACTCATTATGGTGCTTCATATGTTCCCGAGTGCCCATTTTAGCTCTAGAACAATTGTAGGCTTTCCAGAAGTATTGGAGTACATCTTCTGCCATCCCTGACCATTTCTTTTGCAGATTGGGGCTGATGGGAATTGGATTACAAAATATTTGAGGTATACTACCTTGCCACCCTCCACTTTAACACACTTTTTAATCAATTTCAGACAGACCATTCCTGGCAAGAGCTCCAAGAACCAGCAGGAGGTAGATGGTCCACTGGAACTTGGAACTAAGTCAGTCTGCAATTTATTCTCTCTTCACCTATGATTTAAATTGCTTTTTTTTTACTTTACACAGGATTCACCAGAATCAGATGCAGATCGAGAAAGAGACAAAAAAGAGAGAGAGAATGAAAAGGAAAGAAGTAGACAAAGATCTGAATCTAAGCATAAATCACCTCCTAAAAAGAGACCTGGCAAAGATTCTGTAAGTTTAGCTGGTTTAAACATGTCTCGTTTCTTTGTCGGTAGAGCTCTGCAGACTCATATATGGAATGAGTATAGGGAGAACTTGTAGAGATGGCTCTGCCAAGTCTAGTCTGTTATCACTGTCACATGATTTAATACACATGTGAGCAACCCATGGCTTTGAGAGGCCTTCAGTATGACCAGCTGTAGGCGCCTGATCTCACAGCTCTGTTTCTTGCCTGCAAACCTACTACTCAGCAGGCTGGTGAAAACAGGGATGGAGTTAAGCCCAGGTAGCGCCAAGTTGACCACAGCACTCCGTTCTCTCTTCTTTGAGGGCAGGGAAGGGTGAGCATTGAGCTCGACCAGTCACAGATGTCAGAACAGTTGCAGCAGAGAGACCTTCAGAATTCTAAAAGCTTTCCCCAAAAGCTGCTGATCTGTGTAATCGGGCTTTTCACCCAATAGCAAAGTTACTGAGTGGATAAGGAAAAGAAAGGACTCTCCTTTTAATTTCAATTACCTCTAAAGTACTTGTCTTTCTTAACTAGATAGGCCAGCAAGAGCTTTCAAAAGCAATTTGTGACATGGACCAGGGAATGGGGGGAGGCATATGGGGGTGAAATATGTCTTCACAGATGAAGGCAAGTAAACTTAAAAATCTATTGCATGCAGTTAAAGTAGTAGTTTTGATTTGGTTAACACTTGGCTATTAAAGTCCACCCTGAACCAAGGTTGCTCAGTCTAAAATGACCAGTGCTACTTTTGAAATGGGAGGGGGGAATCTTGGTTTGGTTTGTCAGTGGTGTATATTTATAAACAAAAATGTACAGTTGCTTTCATTTTCCTTTTGAAGAGTTTCAGGAACTTGAAATATGGAAGCTGTATTGCATAATAATAGCCAAATTGCATTTCTAAGAAACAGGGATGTGTAAAATGCCTACAATGACTGAATACTAAGTTATGTGGAAGGATGTACTAACTAGCTTCATTATCCCTTTACAGGGCGCTTGGGATACTTCTGGTAGTGAATTAAGTGAAGGTGAATTAGAAAAACAAAGGAGAACCCTCTTGGAACAACTGGATGAAGATCAATAAGAAATATTTATACCAAATATGTTTACATTACAATTTAATAAAAATATAGATGACTAATTTCAGGAAATGGATTCTGATGTTCTGAGTTCCATTGGCATAACAATGGCTTTTCAGTTCTACTGTATAAGTATCTCAAATATCATCGTGTGCCTGGCAACAATTGGCAGAGACTGTGAACAGTCAGAAATCAAGCTGAAGTTCTGTTTTTTGAGAAGCCAGGCAGCCTGTATATACCCCTTGCACCTTGACATTTTTCAGAGAGCACATTAGGATGAGCAGAAGCTCTTTATTTTTTGAGCCCCTCCAATGGTGGCTTGGGAAAGTGCTTGAGCCTTTCATGTCTCTTGTGTCTATAAAACAGCTCTTGTGAGAAAGGCCTGAACTTGTTTTCCTTGTCAAATAAGGTCTAAGGGTGAGGGTGGGAAAGAGGTGCACATGTTCTCTTTCGATAGATGCTCTATAATTTTCCTGCAGCTCCACATGGTTTTTTTTTACTACTTTTTTTCCAAAATGAGGGAAGGAGGAGAGAAGGAAATATTTTTCTTGATTTATGGTAGTCCAGAAACCTGTGTTGGGTTTTGGCGCATTACCTTGCTGGCCAAACTTATGTTGTTGGTGGTTTCTATTGAATTTTGACTTTAGGTTGAAATGTGTATTCACCCTGAAGTGAATTTTTAGTGTCAAGTTTTAAAACTGTGAAAAATAGATGATTGATGGAAATCCTAATAGGCCCTTAATTATAAAGGCGCTAAGATATGCTGATGTAATAACATAGCTACCATTTTTATTAGAGGAGAAAACCTGGTATATTAATAAAATAAATTTGGCAGAGGGCATTGCTACAGAATATTGCAAAATCAGTCTGTAAATTAATTGCAATATGTTGCCTTAAGGACTTTCCGAAGAATGTACCACCAAATTTTGAAAAGCACTTGCAATACTGTCTTGTCTAGAAAATCAATGTTGACATAATTTTCTTTTGAGACATGTTGACCTGATGTAAAAAGCCTGGTCTCCTTTTATGTTGATTTTTCCTTTATACTAAATTGCTTATGACCAGTCTTGATTTGATGAGTACTATCTGCCCTATACATTCAGGCATATTGACTACTGTGGTACAGACTCAAAAATCTTTCTGATTTGAATATTTTTGTACATTTTTATCACTTATTAAACCTTGTCTTCTAGCGTGTACTAGTATTTTTTCCCTTTTTTTAACTACTTTGTACAACTGACACATACCTAACATGCTTTCACTTGTGACTTTGAAGCCAAACTGTATAGCTTTTATACATGTTTGTTTACAGCAAGGAAAGAAAGGGTTGTGTTCAAGGTCAGTCACAACAGTCATGTGACATTCTTTATCCAATAATATACAATGGAGTGGTAATTTTGAAATTGCTCTCTTTTAGCATAATTAAGGGCCTGACATTGCAAAATAAGAAATGGGGGTTATAGGAGAGCAAATGCATAGTCATCCTTGGTTCTTACATATTCCATTGAAGCATATTTGCACTAAGTAAAAGTCAAAGTCTGGTTGCACAGAAGAAAGGGGTTGGAACCATAAGTAGAACTGTGCTGATTGGACACTTGTGCTGGAGCAATTAGGTGGAGCTGAAATCAATCTTAAGAAAGAGCCAGTGGATCTTTTATAGTAGTGTAAATAGTTTATTCAATCATATGTCATGAACAGATCAGAAAAGTAACAGGAACTGCTTTTTTAAAACACCTACAATATTGCTAAGAAGCAGGTCTATTACTAGATAAAATATCTAAGAGAACATGCCACTATTACTGCCGGCTTATGTTCATATATAAATATTTGGTATATTTTGAATTCTGTCGCAGCTGTTCAGCTGTCCTTAAGATACATTGTCAAATTCTATTTTATCCAAATAAAATATGTGTCTTTCAGTGAAGAAAAAAATAAGTAACCATGGCATGTTCTCTTTAGCATGTCAAGTACACATTGCTGTGAACTGAGAGTGATTTGCAGTTGTTTAAAATAAATTTTCTGTAAATTGGTAAGCAAAATGTCAATCCAATAACCTTTGAGCCCCAAACTGTCCATTTAGTTAAATATAAAAAACAAAACTATAAGTTAAAATAACATTCAGATTGTATAGCACAGGCTGATGCATTTTTAAACAATATTTACAATATTACCCCAAGGCTAGAGTAGGAATTAAAGAGAAGTGTAAAAACCATAAAAAAGCACCAATTTTGTAGCAAAATATCTGTACATTTTAAACCATTATATAACTACACATTATCAAAGTAATATGGGACCTTTACCAGTGGTTCACATAAGCACAACATAAAAAAGAATTAAGTGGTTAAATACTATACAATAAATTTTACAATTAACATAGTGATGTAGTGTTACCGAGAAAAGTGAGCTGTAAGCAAGTATCTCTTCCAGTTTTTGACTTTGGAAAAAAGTGCCCTGCTTGTAGCAAAATATGCATTTGCAACAACCAATATTGATTATTAAAACTTTAGGATGTTTTAACAAGTCCAAAGGTTAAACTACAACTCCCTCTTCAAAAGGAATATATCCACAAGCATAAATATGATGGATTATCCAAAGGGGCAAGTCTTCGTTCTGCACTATATTCAATGTTTTATGCCTCCCCTTTCACAACCACACGTTGGCTGAAATTGATACAGTTCAGAACCATTTAAATATTCTGATTGCCCATCTGCCTGACATGCTAGGTTCCTGCTTCTAGTAATGGATTTCCTTTGGATTGGGGCTATTTAATAGATGTTCTATTTCCGCTCTGTGAATGTACTTCGCGATGAAATCTACAGTTCGCTGCATTTCAACTTAAAGACAGCTCCTGAATTGTTGCAAAGTGCAGAAACAGCTGGTGACTGAATTCCCATTTGTGCAGGGTGGATATGCAAAGACCTCATGGAGGGGAATCCTAATTTTCTTAACAGGACAACAGGTTTTCACTGTTCTGACAACTTAACCATTGTGGTACTCCGGGATTCTAATACTGATTATTGTGACATTAATATCTTAGTGCTAATTAATAAATAACATTGTTACCCAAAAGCTGTCTCTACATGAAGAACACAGGTACGGAGTTTCATACATCATTCTTCTGTGTTCATAATGTGTTCACACTCTTCAGCTATACCTTCTTAATTCAGCTTCACTACCCATTGATACATACTGGGTAGAGTCTGAAAACAGGCAAATATGTATTTAATATAAGCCTCACATTTCCAGTACCTATTTACAGTAGAAATCCCACTAGCCAATCCTTTGTTATCCCAAATAGCTTTAAACTTTGTAAACTTATGGACATCTACCTCAACTCTGTTTTATAAATTGTATTTTCTTAAAGGGCAAAATTTATTTAAATGGGTTCCCCTACTCCACCATTTTTATGGTAGGAGTCCTTTATGGATGCATATTTCCCACATATGCACATATACCACTAATAAGTGCAGCGGAAGCTCAAAGCTATCTCCTAAAACTGTCCAGGAATGTATTGAAATTATTAAAACAAAAATTCACAGCAGCTCACACCCATGTATTACCTATTTACAACCAGTCATGAAAACAAAGCCAGTGAAGGCTATTTACTAAGTTGTATGCAACAACAAAAAATACAATATGTATTTTACATTTTGGTTAAAAACACTGAACAAATTTATTGGTGTAAAAAGATACCCAATCAAATAAAGTCCTATTGCTTTGATTAATTTGAGCAGGTACTTGAAATTTAGGCACTTGGTAGCTACAGTGGTGTGGAGAGCCCATCTTTTTTTTCTATGTTCTTTTTTAAAAATTTGCATTCCTATGCATGAGCCCTTCAGAAGATAAGTTAATGTACTGCAATCAAGGCCGTAATTAAAATAGTAGCACAAATATAGTTCACATGGCAAGTAAGTGGTCAAGCACACTTTCTACTTTACACAAACAGAGTTCCCCAATTCAGCTCACATGGCTATTTCAGCACCATTCACAGCACGCAAATTCTGATCATCGAAACGGCGCCTCACGCTTCTTCTCACCGCATCGGCTCGTCTGTAGGGCTGGTTTCTAAGATCTGCAAGAAGAAAATGTTAGGTGTTAGAAACAGGCTGGCCTGCATCTTTGGATCTAGACAAGGAAAGAGTCCTGCTGGTAGCCAATCAAAGCAGCTTGAAGCAAAAGAGAGGCATTTAAACTCACAAGAACTGAGCGAATAGCATAGCGTGGGCTACCTAACCATTAGTTTAAAAAGATAGCACGTGGAATTCCTGCCTATTCGTATTTAATGCAGGGTGACTGCGATGCCCTTTTGTGGCAGCCCTAGGAACATGTTACTCTAATGAAAAGGTTTCAACTGTGGGAGCAGCTGTTTCATCAAGACAGTCCCCATCTCAAATCGCCCTGCCCATCACAAGCTCCCTGCATTTTCATAACCTGTTACTCAGGTGTGGGCTGCTTTCACCCCGGGGTTCTGCACAGAATCTGGTGCCACCATGAGTCTTGGAGACAGTTCTTACTTATTATTTACTTGTAAGGATGGAAAGAAAGCAATGGAAGTTATTCTGTTACCCATATCACAGAACACAATAGCAGCAGCTTAAAGCATCAGTGCAATACATTCCATGCACCGGACCGGTCTGATCTCTATAATTCTTGAAAAGGAAGCATGGGGGTGGATTGACTTCAAGGTTTCTTCCTTGATCACCACTGCAATGTAATGATCAGCATGAATACTAACCACGTGGCTAGTCCTGCTCATAAACTTATTTCCCTGCAACTGATACTGGCAAACCCACAAACCTATCCAGACTTGCTTTGTCTTCTGCCATATAAATTCTGCAGAAGAAATCCAAACACCCATCATAATGAGCAAGAATTTACTTGCATGTTACTTGCATATTCTCTGGTTTTGCCACAATGTATTTTGAGAAAAATGCAGACATACTCCTGTCCAAAAAGGATGAGGAGTGGATACAGGAAGCTGGCTTTTCAGAGAATCACTGCCTTCCACACACAGCTCCTCTTACTCTATTCTGGTCTGGTCAGCTTCCCGAAACCCCAGACCTTATTTCCCAGCACCTTCACCCATCGCTCTACAAAGCCATCCATCATGCTGCTAAGAAACACTTAAGGCCAAAAGAATCAAACACATTTTGCAATGTTATTTCTCTTTCCCTAGACTGTGTTTCATTAGCTGTTACTGAATCCATTTCATTGCAGGGTCCCAGTGCAGGGGGAAAGAAAGAGAGCACAAATAAATGTTTGCGTATGGTTCCTGTATCTGAGATGAGCATTTTCTCCTTTGTAAAATAACTTTTATTGGCCTTGATCCTTTGCCTTTAAAATGACAACGTGACATGTTGATAGGCATGTGTAAGCAAAGCTTTCACACTGGATTTTTATGTCAGGAAAAGCGACATTGCTAACTTCCCCATGTTAGCGGCTGCTAAAGGCACAGAAGCAAAGTTTGTAAAAAAAAGATGGCAACCATACTTTATGCCTCTCTCTCCCCTTTCTATCTGTGGTGTAGTGCACAGGCTTACTCACAACTTTCAGTTATACCCAAGGCTACAACACAGATGCAAATCCACCTTGTAGAGGACAACCTGTATGTCTGGAAAGGGATTAATCACTAAGCATGTGCTTTGGTAATGCTGTTTAGTGCAGTCAAGCACAGTCCATTAACCAATCCCTCTGGCTACATAAGCAAACAGATACTAGAAGAAAGAACCTAAGAGTGTATCACTCCTTTAGGTTACTTAGTTGATTTTGCAGCAGTTCTGTGTGGCATACAGAGAGAGGAGGAAGCTAAGTAAAAAGTGATGCTTGCCAGCTCTGTGTATCCTCCACCACCGGTGTGCTAGAAGAAATCCTTACCCTCGAGTGAACATTTGGAAATTTAGTGATATTATTCTTCTTTAAGGCTAAACAGAAGGGGAAAAAAAACACAGAATGATGGTTAAGTTAAAAATGGGATGGAACATGAAGAGCAACTCAACTCAGTGCCCCAAAGCAAAATAAATAATTAAAAATCCCACGCATGTTAGCAAGTAAAGCAAGAGAGGTGGATAAAAGCCAAGACTTAGGGGAATTAAAAAGGGAAAGGAGAGAAAAAAGGTGGCCACCCTAGCCTCTTACTCATAGAACTCCAAGCTGCTTTGAACACTGGCTCCAGGATGACTGTACAGCACTTGAAAGAGCAAACAGGCGTCGAGCGAGTTACAGCTAGCATTCTTTAAAGTTAAAGCCCCTATTAAAATATGCTGCACCAGTAGGAAATTAAATGCTGCTTTCTTTAAGAGCCTTGGTTCTTGTGTCAAAGACAACAGCATTAACAGGTACATGCAGTGTTAAGCACTTCTACTTTTTAACAGCTGAAATCATAAGATGTAAATGGATCCAGTTCCATGTCAATTAACTTTGGACTGCTGTTGCTCAGGAGCAATTTGGAAAGACTGTGGCACTATTCTTGATCTGGAGATTTTCTTCCTCTGGTCTTTGATTCTTGAGCCTGAAAATGATTTACTATTAATGTAGATGTTCTTAACCTCTTGGCTTAGAAAGCAAGACTTGCTTCTAAAACTATGGTCTCTCTGGATCTGGTTTTAGCTCATTCTGATTCACCTAACTGAGAAAGACTGGATTGTTCAAACACACAGTGTTATTTTACAAGTAGCTGCCATGTGGCTCTAAGGAAATTTCCAATTAAGCTGGCATGGAACTGAACCTAACATGACTATGGATCCAAAAAAATGAAATGGATGGGGGTGAATTGATGGGCTATTTATTTTGTTCTCAGTCTTACATACAAACAGAACATGCAAGTGATGGTTAAATGGCCAATGAGAAAAAAATGATCTTGCAGTTCACAAAGGAAAGTGTGACAGTCTTTTGCATGCCACAAAGCAAAACTCTGTTCACTCACACACACTAGACGTACTTCCATAGATAGGTTTAGATGAACAAGATTCATGCAACATGGATCAGGTCAACACGGAGAAGGCGGCAAAAGCCCAGTGAGCAGGTGACATAGAAAAACCAAGTGAACTGTCTGTCACATTTAGCAGTAGGACTGGTGCGATCCTGTGTGAGCTGGCAGGAAGCACAGCCAGCACCAGCCTCAGGGACATTTCTGTGACTTCCAACACTTGCTGTTCTATGGCGTTCAGCACATAGGCCAAGGACGCCTCTGAAATGCAAGAAGTGGAGCAAACCATCATCCGTCTGAGGGAAGGAAGCAAAAGGCTACTGGCGGACAAGAACGTGCAATGAGATGGTGATGTAAAATGCAACTCCAAGGCCAGACATCATGAATCCATTCAACAGCCACATTGCCTTGCACAGTGGAGAAATGTCAAAAACCTACAGCAACCTTTTTTTTTAAGAGCACCGGGTGTGAAAGGGGAATAGTTTAGTAATGGAATTCCTCTGTGAGAACAGGTTCGCAGAAAAACCGAGAGCCACGCTTGGCCGTTCGAGCGGTAAAGGGCACCGTCTTCAGCACTGCATGGAAAATAACAGCCAAACAAGACAGAATACGGTAAGAAGAAAAGTACTATTGCATTAGTACACTGTTAGTGCTGTATTAAGGATGCCCTGAGAGGACTCGTCAGTCATTCAAGCACAATAGGATGGTTTTGGCTGGGCTACTGGCAGAACTATGTTCCGCAGTCACAATTACTTGTTTGTTTAGGTGCAACCGGAATATAAGAAGAACACTGTGATCTCCATAGCTCAACTCCACACAGATCACCTTTGCATGGCCTTGCCCACTTTGACTGTCACTTCCCCAGAGGAATCAAATCACGCAGTCACTGCGTGTGTTGAAAGAACCCCAGGCTCTCACACAAAGTTCACAGAGGGAACAATTCACAATTTAACAACGAAACTGCAACATCCAGAAGTCCTTTTAATTCTATTGACATCTTATTTGAATAGGACTTAGTGTTGGTGTGCACTTATTTTGATTGTTTAAACTACAGTGGTATTCTTTGTGTTTGCTATTACTTTCAGAATTCAGAAAGTTACCACTGAATGAAAAATTCAAGTGCAATGCATTGGTGATTGTGAATGCCATGGAAACTATTAATACTTGGTTGCTAATTCTGGCCATGAAAGTCACTTTAATTGGACTGTAGCGATACCCTGTCTGTTGTCTTAACATTCTTTCCATGCATCATTAATTGTGTCTCCCATAAATTAAGCCCAGCCATTCTCACCCAATTGTGTTCAGTTAAGATTGCAGAAAAAGATAAGCATTAGGATACTGCAAAAAGAATATGCAACTCCAAAGTTCTAACTCAGTCAGCAATCCAATTCAAATTATGCCCTTTGTTATGCATTTAATATTCCAGCAATTATTGTTAGTAACATTTTAAGGAAAACATGAGCTTTTTAAAAAAGGTTAAATGCCAGAAGCTCCCCAACATATTGAAGGATTTAGATGGCATGCATTTGTTGCAGAAACCCATTTAGCAGGGCTCTATTTCTTCTAAGGCTTTATTTGTGACAGCATGCTGAATTGGAAAATTAAAAAAGTAAATGCACAAATGTTATTTCAGTGAGATCTCTGCCACTAAAACTTCTGAAATCCTAAAGCTTTGTGAAGCAGTACTAGATACTGAACTTGGTTTGTTAGGTGACTGAACATCCAACCAGTTTCACAGAAAACACTTTTTAAACATTTAGCAAAGTTCTAACAGAGCTACTAGGCGTAAAAGCACACCGTGTCGTCTTTGGAACAGCTTCCTCCTATGTATGCATATTTTTTCATACCTGTGATGATATCTTCAATAGCTCCATCTTTCCCCTCATACACATGTCTATTGTCCTTGACTTGTCGCCGTCTTAACTCTGCTATCAACTCTTGCTGCTGTCTCTTTGTTTTATGAGATGGTGACTGGAAAGGAGCAAAAAAAAAGGGTTGCAATGGGGCCCAGCGACAGAGAGGTTGCCTCTTCATCCTGCAGAAGCATCAGATAGCTGGACAACATGCTGGCACACTGGATCACTGGCCCATCTGGATCAGTTCTACTTACAAAACGGGCCCTGGCAGTAGCCCCGGGGGCTGGACAGGAGTCCTCCATCAAGACAGGCACTGAATATGGAACCGTGAATATGGAACCATGTCACCCACAGCATGTAGTTTAGCACAGAGGTATGGCCCCTTCCTGACTCAATAGTTCAGTATCTCCCCCCTGACGGAATCCTGTTAAATCGTGTAATGTTTAGGAAGAAAAGTAGGTCAGAGGAGCTCTGCCAATTTTTATTTTTCATTTCCACGGGGCATGGGAGCATAGGTCATTCACAAAAGCAGGAGCTGACCCCAAAAAGTGGGGTCAATCTGCAACAGGAAGGGATTGGCATAGCTGCATGGCTGGAAGAGGTATAAAGCGATCACACGTTCCAAGGCAAATGACAGCCGTTCTTGCCACAGTTACGCAGGCTTTGATTCTGTTCAGCCTTCAGTAGTGCAGTATCTTACTTGTGGGGCCATCTCTGAAAAAACTGCTGGACTTACGGTGAGGATTATATTTCAACAGTATTTAATGGCACTCTAATAGCATCCAGGTTGGGAAGTATCCAATGGTGTCATTCTGCAAACGTAAATGAAATTAGCAGAGTTCCTCTGATTCTTTCAGTTGCACAACCGGCTACCCATTACACTTTATGCCCAGCTGTGCAAGCAAGTTGCCCAATGCATTGTATAATGGGTAGCACAGGAGTTATGCAAAGCACATTGCGCAAGCAAAATGCACAACTGTTCCTGGGACCATGCTTGTGTGAATGCAACTGTAGCTAGATTATTTTCCTTGCGCATAGTTCAGAACCTAGTTTCCTCTAACACAACATCATTTGCACCAATAGAATGACATAGTTGAATCCTGCCCCTTATTTCGAGGCAAAATTGAAAGTTCTTCTTTACCCTATCAAACTTTATATGATCTGGAACCAAGATACCTAAAGAACTGTTAACCCCATATGAACCTGCCAGCTGAGTGGATCATTGAAGTTCAGGAATCAGTGAAGGACAAGAGAACTAAAGTCCATGGGGTCATGAAGACTCCAGTGCGATTTTGCGACTAAACAGCAGCCTTCTTTCTGTCTTCTGAAGAGGATCTTTTCTGTGGTGGCTCCCTAATTCTAGGACACAGGAAGAGCTGGTAACACCAAGGTTCTAGCAAGTCAGTGTGCTGCTCACACTGTGGCCAACCAGCTGCTTACAGGAACCCGACCAGCAGAATGGGAGTGCAACAGCGTATTTCCCAGCCACTGGTGTACACAGGCATCCTCCCTCTGATACCAGATGCAGCACACAGCCATTGAGACCAGTTGCTCTTGGACTGGCTTCTCCTCCATAAATCTGTCCAATTCCCTTTTACAGACAGCCAGACTGATGGCCACTGCTACATCTTGTGGGCATGACTTCCTTTTCTCTGTCCTGAATCTCCCACCAATTGGCTTCACGGGACAGCCTGGCATTCTGCCTTTTTGGGAAAAGTTAAGGCCATCGTATCTTGGCTTGCAGGCTCCTAAAATTAGCATTACATGATGTTCTCCTCAGATGTTCCTGCTGTGCGGATCTTCTGCTAAAGCATTTAGCCCTCTCTGACTGGCTAGCACATTTCACCACATTCTCATAGTTTTCCCTAGGGATGATTCAATCCTAACCCGATGCTATCCAGCCCCCATTACTTCTTAAAATAAACACCTATTACTTCTAAGAAAAGCAAGATATCAGGATAATGAACACTTATATGAGATTTAGGAATAACCAGAGAAGGACATCTATGGGGAATGTCTCCCATTTCCTTAAAAGTTTTTTGGATGTTGAAGAACTTGATTAGCTGTCTTTGAAAGTGAGCAAGAAAGTTTCAAGCGACAGTTGTTGGGGGTGTGGCTGCTTTGTCGATCCCAGAGAATGAGAACAACAGCCCACTTCCCATCTGTCATGCCAACAAGTCCATTGTCATAGTCCTGGCAGTTCACTACCTTTTGGTCCTGTTGTTCCATCAGTGCTTCCTGCTCCAGAAGTTTCTCCATTAACGCCTGTTCTTGCTTTTTCCTTAATTCATTTTCCTCTTCTGCTTGCTGTTGAGAGGTACAGAGGATATATACTGGTAAGAGCAACCAAAAAGCTCAGACGAGAGTGATTTTATTTTCAACCCAGACAGCAAAACATACATTCATTGAAACTGGTTTAAGTTAGCTGTGCTGCCTGTTAAATGGGATAGAAGCCACTTTACTGTGTCTGTTGCAATGTGATAGCTAAATTCTTTCAGAACCATCTAAACATTTAAACACTTCCCTGTGGGTCAGATTCAGAGAAAAAGGGACAGACATTGGCTTGTGGGAGATGGTCTCCCTGCCAACACCTTCTTCTTGGTGTCTCCACCACCAACCACAGTCCTTCTCTGTGAAAGGATCCGCGAAATGCATTTTCCTCTGGATCCAATCCTTTGTATGTACTTGCTGGCCACTCCTTTCAGTTCTCAAGTACACAGGGAGGCATTGCCTTTTTTAACAAATGAGCAAGTATAATGCATGAATAGATTACTAATAGTGTGTGCAAGCAAATTTACTGAATTAGTCTGCAGACCACACAGAAACGAATATGATGAGAAGAAATCAGAAACAAAGATGATCTGTATCACTATCTGTACCTGCATCTTATAAAACCAGCATAAAAAATTTAAACATGTGAAAATTTTATAAACCCTTTAAAACCTCACATAGTTTACTAATATTACACAGCTCATTGAATCAGATAATTCCACCCCCTCACCCCAGTAAGCTGAATGCCTGAATAGCCAGCAGGACAACCCCCGGGGCCACAAACTGGTCCAGTCCCGAAGGAAAAGATCCAATTTGGGCTCAGATGTCCCATTTCTCCTGCATGCAAGAAATGGGAATAAGTGGCATTCCCTCCAATAAACAGTGTGCCGGGCGGGTCTTGCACCACATGCTTCAAATATACTATTTTGCACAGAGTGCCCTGAATCTTTGTTGTTGCATCACTGAGTCCATCTGCTCATACTGGAGATGTGTAAAGACCATACAAAGAACCCTTTTCATACACACACACACACCGCTTCCTGATACTGGGTTTTAATCCTCACTAACCATTTCATAGTCCTTTTATTCCTCAAGGGTGCTAGATCCATTCAGTTTCTGTTTAAAAACCTTTCTTTCAATAGCATTAAGACCACTTGGAGCCCTCAAACTAAAACTTTAATTACCTAACATGTTTGAAAGATTAGACCACCAAGACTTTCCATAATTTCAGCCATCTGTTTGTTTATATACGTCTTAGGCAGGCTAGCTTCTCTTATGTAAGCTAACTTATACCAATAATTGAATCAGTGGAAGTGAATCCAATCTGACACAACCTCCAATCCAAATCTAAATCATAATGATATGAGCCAGAGGGGCTCTTGACATTTCTAGGATCAGGCATAAAAATAATTTTGAGCCATACATTTTTTTTAAATACTGGCAAGGCCACAAATTTGTACAGCAAAGATTAACAGAGATAACACCCGTGCCTATACAAGCTCATAACTGGAAGTGATCCAGGGTATATGTAACTTAGCAGCTTAGAACTTAGAAGCCTAATCAACAATAAAGCACATAGCTCATACAGTTGCATTTAACTCATTTCTCTTTATTTGTGATGACCAGGATCCCCTGAAAGAAAAAAACACACCCAAATAAATGAATTCATTTGCTCTTTTTCTTTAGAATCCAAAAGCCATTTATGTTGCTTCTAATTTTTGCCACTTTGTATTTCATCTTAATTCATACTAAGTCGTTCTCCTGACAATAAACTTTTGCAGTTGTCTGCCTAGGCCCATCTGCATGGTAAATAACCAGATCTGCTTACCAATCTATCCAAGGCCTTTGGTCTATGAAAATCTTGACCATGTAACATTGAAACTACATCATTAATATAAAAAATAAGAGGACACTATGTAAGGATACAACCTTGTTGAACTCTTTTCTCTGTAAACAGGCTAAACTGGAAGTAAATATAGCAAAATCAAAGTTCTGTTAAGATTCTAATAGATATGGGAAAAGAATCCAACACGATGTAATTGCCAAAGATAGCTATCCCTTTTCCTGCCAGACTGGCATCCCTCTTCAAAATCAGTCAAGTCCTCCTGATGATGAGAAAAAATCACGGCTACTGGAGAATGGGGAGAAGAGTGAGAGTATGCCCATGTAGTTACAATGGCTACTGTTCCTCAAACAAATATAGAAGTGGGCAACTTGTGGTCCTCCAGATGTTTTGGCTACAGCTCCCATCAGCCCTAACTAGCACTGACAAAGGTGAGGGATGATGGGAGTTGTAGGCTATTACATCCAGAGGGTTACAAGTTTCTCACCTTTAGTATAAAGGGCTCATTCTGGTTTTTAGTGCTCTTAATTTACTTATAGCTTTCCCTATGACCTCTGCCAGGCTGCTGTTTTGCTTACCTGCCATACATGTCTTTGGAGTCCTTGATGCTTAACAGCTGTAAATGTATACTTCATAAAGGAGGTACAACTTAACCTTTGTTCTGTCTGCAGTGGAAACTAGTGTACTACTTCTGTACACTAGTTTTGTACTGCTACAAAACATTTAAGAAGTATAAACACACCTATAAACATAAAGTTAGAACAGAATTAGGTTTCTGTTTATACCTTGTAAGCTTTCACAAATCGGACAAAGACTGGGAAGAAGACTGAGGGAGGTGTTGTCTTGGGATTTTCTCCAAAATATTTCACAGCATCATCAAAGGCATCCTGTAGGCAAGTTCAGATGAAAAAGTATACAAGTTACAGCAGAAATTACAACTTATATTTATGCATTTTGTTTATTTAAGCATTTCTATATCATCCATCAGCCAAGCAAGGCTCCCTGGACAGTTCACAACATCAGAATACATACAAACAATCAACAACATATAAAATAAAAAATGACGTATCAAATAAAAATATTATGCCTATAGTATGCCCACATCAAGCCTAGCAAATCCACATCAACCACAGCCAGATCAGTCTGGAGACACTGCAACAATACCAACTGATATACCAACAGATAGTTGGCAGTGTATCTCTTGAGATAAACCATCAACAGATACACTGGAGTGGGGCAGGGGCGGGGGCGGGGGCGGGGGGGAGGAATGAAAGAAATGGTGCAAGTAATAAAAGGTTTTGCCAGCAAAAAAAATGTATTTAATACACAGAGACGTAACTTCCTAGATCTCATTGCCTATGCTTTCCACAAAGAGGAATGCATCGTCACCACCACCATCACTGCAAAATAGTTCTTAGGTGGCCTGCTTGGCGAACTACCTTTCTGAAGTTGCTTGCCAGCTCCCATGCTCTGAGAATCAGAACCATGCGCTTGCTCAAATAGGAGCCTCTGCATCAGAAGTAGGCAACTTGTCCCTTTCAAGATGCTTGGGCCTCAAATTGCCAGCATACCTCATTATTAGCTGTAACGACTCAGCTCTTCTCTAAGCTTTCTGAATATTGCAAAACCAGTGAAGGTATTCTTGATTCTTGCATCAAGGAGTGGAGAATCAACGAAGCTATTATACAGGATCAATTTATTGCTTACACTTCTGATAAGATTTTTTAAAGGCAACCAATATCATCAAATGAAGAGTTAAAATGCTTATAAACTAACAGAATCTTGATAAAAATATAATAAAATATCAGAGCAAGAGACAGATGCATTCTTCCAGATTAATCTTTCATGCATAATTTATTCCATATAAGTTTATTTCAGCTCCTGTGCAAGGAGAAGAAATAAGAAAAGCAATTACAATATGTTTGCTGGAAAATCTGCTTTGGACAGGTTTCCAATTTTCTGCTCCTTAGTTTCAAAACTGTTTTTTATTCCTTTATTTTTGAAATGAACTCCCTTCTTTGCATTGTTAAATGATACTTACATTATAGCAATTTCCAAACCTGTAAAGAATTATACTCATTTATTTCCACTGCAAACCCATTTTACTAACTGATGTTGATGTTAAAAAATTGACTGTAACTTTGACTAAGGTACTGCAACACAGTATTACAACATGGGTATGACCAGAACAGGTAGAATTTATTAAACACTGACAGGTAGCCAATAATCTTAGATTCCTTGTAGATTTAGTTGTGTTAAGTCATGACAGAATAGATCAAGTTGATGGCATTGCTTTGGATGCTGCAAAGATCTATAACGAAATTCATTGGGAATTTATTGTAGTGACAGTTTCAGTTTCCCTGTTGACTTTTTGAAATGAGTTAAAATTCTGTATTCAACCCTGAGAGGCAGAGTTATGCTCAAAGGGTTCCTCTCATTTTTTCTTTCCACTCTGGAGAACTAGACGGGGTGCCGGCTTTCTCCATTGACATTGGACTTATTTTGCAAATCTAGGCATGCACTATTAGAATACCAGTGTTAAAGGTTTGACTCATAATTGCTTAGAATTAAAAATCACCTTACTGCAGATGATTTATCACTGTATATTTTGCAATTCTGATGGCCTGTTCCTGCTTTCACGTAGCTGATTAATGATTGTGGTAAGCTGTCTAGTTATTCAATTAACTGATCAATGTCTGATTAATTTCACACAGTGTATTAGCCAACTGGCAATTTGGATGTTGCCAAGAGGCTAGCCTGGGTCACGCTGTATAAATGACCCATGCTGAAATAGAGACAGGGGAAGTGGGACTCTGTTGATAGTTCTTGACAGCTTTCGATACCATCAACCATAGAATCCCTCTGGGGTGACTGTCCGAGTTGGGAATGGGGTCACTGCATTGAAATGGTTCTGCTCCTACTTGGGAGGCCATCTCCAGAAGGTGGTGCTTGGGGAACAGATTCTCCAGCATGGACCTGTTCTCTCGCACATGCTATTTAACATCCACATGAAACCACTGAGTAGGTCGCCCAGAGTTTTAGAGTGCCTTGCCATCAGTATGTTGATGACACGTATCTCTATTTCTCCTTTTCATGGTCAGCAGGTGAGGCTGTGGATTTGCGAAACTGGTGTCTGGCTGCAACAACAGCCCGGATGAGGTCTAACAAATTGAAACTCAATCCAGACAAGACTGAGGTGCTGTTGGTGGGAGATTCTTTTGACCAGATGGGGAGTTCACCCTGTTCTAGCTGCTCTGAATGAGCAGGTTTATAGCTTCACGGTGTTCCTTGGTCCACCTTTGTCACTTGAAGCTCAGGTGGCCTCGGTGGCTCAGAGTGCCTTCTACCGGCTTTGGCTGGTGGGCCACCTATGTTCCAGGGATAACCTGGCTTCAGTAATCTATGCTTGGGTAATCTCTAAATTGGATTGCTGTAACGCACTCTATGCAGGGCTGCCCTTGAAGCTGGTTCAGAAGCTGCAGTTGGTGCAGAATGCCGCAGCCAGACTAATAACTGGGACATGCAGGTCCAAAGATGTAAGACTGGGCCACTTGCACTGGCTGCCTGTATGCTTCTGGTCCCAATTCCAGGAGCTGGTTTTAACCTATACAACCTTACATGGCTTAGGACCACAATGCATGCCAAAGCACCTCCCCCAACCAACATCTTCTCGGTCACTCCATTCACCCTCTGGGGCCTCTCTCTGAGTTACAACTTTGAGGGAAATGTGTGGGATGAGAACAAGGGGGAGAGCTTCTTCTGTGGTGGTTCCCCATTTATGGAACAACTTCCCCACTGAGGCCTAGTAGGTGCCAAATTCGTCATTTTATGGGTACCAGGTTAAACAGCCCTGGTATGCCAAGGCTTTTAAAGACTTATCTGGATACCCAGGGTCTTGAGGGGAACAGAACAATGTTCTTTTAAATTATCTACCCAGTTCTTGGAAGTTAACACATGGTTGACATAAATGGATTTTCTGCATCCTTTTGGAAGTGGAATATTGATACAATATTTGAAAGATAAAAGCTCACCTCCTGTAATGAAATGGATCAAAGAACTTGTGTGACATATGGACACTACTCCTGTAGGAATATTTGTTTGCATTTTGTTAAAATGTATGTACAATTGGTACATCTGGATTCATCCTGTTACACCAATACTGACATTAAGCCATTATTAAATCCATAGTTTTTAAAATTTAGATGTTGTTCTGTTCAGTGGCATTCACAATACAACAGAAAAGGTAAAAGCTGTAAAGGTTGTGGCTAATGGGAATTGTGAGATAAAACATCTGGAGGAGCATAATTGCCCACCCTAATGATACATAGTTAGAGCAAGAGATTGTGCCTGGCCTAGGACCATCCAGTGAGCTTCAGGTCTTGGTGGGGATTTGAAACTGGCCTTCCAGTCCTAGTGTGATCCTCTAACTACTGAGAGGATGCTCACGTTCATTTTTCCTATTGTGAAAGGGTCATTTTCAGCTTGAAAAGGGAAAAGGTTTCTTCATTCTTAGATTCTGATAGCTAGATCACTGCAACAGCTGAGCTACATAGAATACCTGGGCTATTTTTGCATCATCCTGTAACTTCTTTAGTTTCCCTTCATTGTTCTGAATAAATTCCTTCAGCATGGTGTTGTGATCATGCATGGTGTACTCTCGTTTGGTTAGGTCCAGGCCTCTTTGGAGTTCCTTTACATCTAATAAAACATTCTCAAGGGACACTACAAAGGGAAACAAAAATCATCCCAAGTATTAATATAGAGAGCATACAAATTGGTTACTTACATCTAACACACCCAGTTAAAGGATCTCATGCAACAAAGCTTGAAGATACGTCTGCCTGAGATCCTGAAGATTTTAATTAGATGCACCCAGCAAGCTGTTTTCTGCTGCTACTAAAGCAGTGAAGGACCAACTGTGTTCTAAGGACACCAAAGAGAATGAACAGCAAGCAGGCTAGGTGGCTTAATGTCAACATTAGCTCAGCAAGACTGGGAAGGGAGAGGGGAATGAGTAGAGTTGCACTGAATGAGAAAAGATGTTGAGGCGATGCAGCCCAGAAAATGGATTTTTATGCTCTTTCTACAATGCATGCATGTACCTGAGCCCCTCAGTTTAACCCACATGGATTCTGGCAAAGCAGTTCTTCCTGAAGGTGGGCTGGGTCCAGACAGATAGCCTTACAGAAGACCCACTGAAATATTAACTATCAGTAACTTGTGTCCCGTTGATTTCAGTGGGTCTGCTCATGGCATAACAAAGGCTAGATCCAACCCATTAAATGAGCATTAAGTGGATTCCACTTAGTCTCAGATTTCCTCTTGGGCTCGGCCCTGTTTTGAAAGCAAGTCTGCAAAGGCTTGCAGAAGGAAGGCTGCGTAGCAGGCAACCTTTTTCTGCATCACGTGGAGTATCATAAACGAGGGCTGATGCACCCAACATGGAAGAGGAGAGCTGCTTGCACAGTGTTTGTGTGGGGTTAGATTCCTGGGGAGTGTCACAGGAAGGCTGGGCATCCTCACTCAGAGCTGCATCCAAGTGGACAGGAGTCTGGGGAGCCGAGCCCAGGGAATCCAATCAATTCCAGCTCTTCAAACAGATTCCTCACACACACCTAGATTATCTCAGAAGCGCTTCAAAGATGACTGTTCAAAGAAACAGGAAGTAGTTTATGGGCTAGGGAAGCAGCAAAAACAATATGAGAAGTAAATGAACAACAAGCAAATGGGTCTTAGCATGGACTAGGAAGGCAGCCTGATTACCAAAAAGTGGGAGGCTGTTCAAGGCTTAGAGCAGTTTGTCACAGGGTACAAAGGTGCATTTCACAACGATGGTGCCTGTGTGATGCTCACAATTCTCCTTCGGAGGTGTCCACCTGTCTTCTGCACGCCAATATAACGTCCATTAGAATCTGGCTATGTGGGGGTGGTATCACTGCCTTTGGATGCGCACAGCGTATTTCTGAACCAGCTTTATATAATTGGGAAGTGAACCATGGCCACATTACCTGCAGCAGCCTTCTCCACGTAGTGAAGTTCATTGTAAAAAAGTGATACTTGCTGATACTTCTCCTTCACAACGTTTGATATATAGTGCAATAAGGTTTGTTTTCTATCCGTTGATTTTGTGTCTAACAACTGTGGCGAAGAGGTGGAAGAGGTGTGTTAGAATAAAGGCAATGGCTTGGATTCTAATCTAAGAGAAGGGACATAGGAAACCACCTTACAGAAAGTCAACACCTTGGGTTTATCTAGCCCAGTGTTTCAGGCAAGGTTTATTTATTTTGTTACATAAACAGTCCTATCTAGAGAACATTCCACAGATAGAGAAAATGTTCAACTACTTGAGCTGTGGCCTGTGAGCTGTATTTTGATTTTAAATACTTTATGAGATTTACAAGCCACCTTATGAAAATGATTGCAGAGGTTTAATTACTACAGATTAGTAATTAAATAAAGTAATATAAATAGGTATTCCACCTTGCTTCAGCTTATGGTAAGGAGTAATTTTACTATGGTCAAAAATGCAAATTAGGGCTGGGCTGTAATGTTCTTGGGGTGACAGTTCTTCCTTTTTTGATTTATGAGGCAAGAAATCAAAGCTTATAATTCTCATTCCCCACTGGTTCACTGACTTCTCACTCATAGGATGCCTGAAACCCCTGTATCAAGGCCGGCTGTATGAATGAATGGGTATTTGCAAGCAGCCTTTCAGGCAAAGTTACACCCAAGTCAGTTTGGTGGGAATTTGTCCCAACTTACCAAATCTAAGCTTTGCAGTTTAAATCCATAAACAGCTCCTCGTTTACTGCTGTTCATATAATTACCCAGAGCCAAGATTATCTGTAGGGACCACAAGGTAGAGAAACAGTAAGCAATAACTTTTTGTGCAATCTGCTACTGAAAAGAAAGGGGCACTTCTAAGTTTATAGAGCCCCTCTAAAGATTAAAAGTGAATGGGTAACATGACACTTACCTCTAAGATTTTCTTGAGCTTCTGAGATGACTTTATTGAGACTGATGCTGCAATTATCGCGTGAAGTTGCTAAAGGCAAATACAAGAAATAACATAAACGCCTGTAAAAGCAGTGCAAACCAACGGGTGGACACCTGGGGGTTTCTGAGACAGAACCTAGCATAAGCCACAGGTGTGAGGATGGAACTGAATTTTTCTTCCCATTGCAACAAATAACTCTGGCACTGGAATGAAACTGACTTGAATATAAGAAATCTAATTTAGAAAAAAACCAGTATGTATATCTACTTACAATGGCTTGCATTTGAAGATACCTTGTGTGAATATTAAGGCAAGCTCATTTTACAAATGAGGCTTTCATATTCTTGCTGATAGGTCACGAGCCATATCCTATACAATTGTGGTACATGTGCCAAACATCCTAACTGAATGCAAAATGCCCATAAACTGAAATAGTACAGTTCAATTCTAGTCCACTTTTACACAAAGATTCTGAATGCTGTATCTCACTCACTGGGGTCAGCATCTGGATGCTTTCTGCGAAGTTGCCAATGAAGGCCATGATGGTCATCTTCTGCATCAGCCGTTCAATCTTACTGAACTGCATCATGAATCGATCCTCATCTGACAGGTTTTCAAGAGGTTTCCTCTCCCGCTCATAAAGCCGCAACATTTTCACTTCGTTTTCCGTGGGCAAGAACCTCATCAAGCATTCGACAAAATCTACTGGCAGTGTCTTCAAATCAAATCTAACCAATGCAAAAAAGCAGATAAATAAAAGATAATTGAATAGAAGGATGGGAAAGAGGCAGTGAGCTAACATTTCAAAGAAATTTATGTTCAGCAAGACCAGGATGTGACAGCCTGATTTTCTTGAAACCAATTCTGTTAGATATGATTCATTTTGTGCAACATTTGCTGCAGGTATGCTGTTTTCTGCAACCAACTTGTAACATGTAGGACAAGATGTGGGGGGATACGTAAAGTGTGAGTGATTGATGTGCATCCTTAAATACTTGCCTATGGATATTTGAAAATGTAAAATAGCTGCCTTTCAGGATACCCAAGCCAAGAGGCTTGCTGGAACTATTTCATACTCCATGGATTCCTCAGCAATTTCATGTCAATTCACCTATGGTGCTTCACCTCCTCCCTCTCCTTTCAATTTTTAAAGCAGTGTCTAATATTATGCTATCAGGGTTCCGAATTACCCCTAATGAAATGAATGGGAAAATTAAACAACCAAAGGCCCTAAGTCTTCCAGGGTCTGTTCTACACCAAACAACTTTTCAAAACAGAGCCTGGAAAACAACATTTTGCAGGAATTATAAATTCCACTTTTGATGTAATTTTACCATTTCAAGAGCACTAAAATAGAAGTTTCGTTGTGTTGCTTTGCTTTTATACTTTCCTAGCTATACAAAAACAATCCACTACAAAATGGTGCGGAAGTCCAATTGTACCATGAGATGTTAACTCTCCTCCAAACTGGCTTCATATTGCCACAGGAGTTAACACTCTCATAATGAAAATTTAAAATGCAGATTTCTGGTACATAAAGTTTCCATAGGGAAAAATGGTCTATTAGGTTACTGAAGCAGCCACAAACTCTTCCATTATTTACCACGATGCTAGTATTTCTTTTTTGTTGTTGTTGTTTTTGTGTTTGCTTTTTCCTCACTTCCGTTATAACACCAGCATGATTTTACCTGTACAGTTTAAGTCACAAGTTTGCTTTGTCCTCTATGTTCTTCTGCAAGGCTACATGATAGCCCAATGAAGAATTTAAGTTAACACTGTGGAATGTGGTACCAATAAAGCATATTTTGTTACATTTGTGTCATTTCAAAAATCAGTCATTAAGTTTATTTCCAGCTACGATTTTAAAGAGGGTCAAGCTAATCAATATTAACAAAAATGGTGTGTATTAAATACATGTACCTCATGTATTTTTGCGTGTCTGCTGTGGGAAACACCACTGTAAGCTTGGTAGAACTGCAGTACATAATGACCCTATAAAGGGTACAGCAGACTTAGAAAGATGAAGAGGTGCTTCAGATTTAACTCAGTAGAAATGAATGCTGAAGAAAAATTACTAGGATTATGCTGAACATCACAAAAGTATTGGGGACAGAAAGCAGTCAATTGACATAGAACGGTAATGATTTGCAGATTACGTGTTCATGAGTTCCACGGAGAAGCAAAAGGTCTAAAAAGCTTCTGAAATTGAAAATTTTCTGAACAAGAATGTGGCTTTATGAACACAGTGAACACTAAGAAAGGCAAATTTCCATAAGGAGGATCTGTAGCACCCTCCTGGATGTCATTCATGCTGGGCATCTCATCTCAAAGTGCTGGTGCTGATCTTTAATGCCCTTCCTGAGCCCAGGATCTCAGAGAGTGCTCCTCCTGCGTTGTGAACCCCACAGCTCACTAAGGTCACCCCATCTGGCTCAGCTGAGGCTCTGCCCTTTAAAAGAAGCTGGGAAATAACAGATCCCTCACTGTAGTAACCCTTAGTTTACTGGATAAGATCCAGCTGCAGTCTTCTTGTCTGGAACCAATCTAAAGCATATTTATGTAGGACAACTTCTGCGAGCTAGGCAAATGAATTGCCTTCATTGAGACCATTATCCTGAAGTGCTCTTAGTACTGCAGCTTTCAAGTATTTTAAAATAAAGTATATTATTGTTGCAGATCTCTCACTGCTCATCAGCCCCTGAACTCGGATGTATATAAACATCCTCTGCAAAGCGTGAGGAGTGCCAAAAGCCATCTCCACCTCCCCACACTTCTTGCCCTGCAATTCTGTGAGTCAATCAGTTCCAGCAGTCTTGCTGAGATGCCTCAGACTGGGAGGAACGCAACCAGCAACGCTACCGGGATAAGACTCTGGTCTCCTCCCCTCTCTGGTCCCTGTAATGCCCTTCTCTCTGAGGTCAGTTTTGCAACCTCAGAGGAGCAGGTGGCAAGCTTCTTTCCATGCCAAGTGCATGACGGGGAAGGAGCCAAGCCCAGATCCCCAGCTCTGAGGCTGGAACTCTACTTTTGACCTCAGATCTGAGAAAGCAAAAACTTCTATAGCCACCTAGACAGTATCTAGGGACCACAGGACTCTTCACTTACTCGCTCCTTTCATTATTGTTTGGCAGACTGTGGAACATTTGAAGAACCAGCCTATACAGCATAATAATGAATTGCACACGTGCAATGCCATTCTCCATTTCATTGAAGACACTTGGCCTAAACTCAAACACTATGAAAACTAGCTTTTTTCTCATTTCCTTAATAAGTAACATATTTATCTCTGGATAGTGTTTAAATTGCTGTTAGGCATGAAAGGGTTGCATGACAAGAATTATGGATGAAATGTATTGATGGCATTCTTCAGAAAGCCACCAGTTGGTCTCCATAATGAAGTAGATCAGTTTGCATCATGCTATTGCTATATATGTAGCCCAGCCTATTCATAGTTGCACATGCACAAGTCCCACTGAGTTCAGTGGGCCTCCTCTAGGAAAGTGTGCATAGAGTTGCTGCTTTAGGGTGATAAACTGGAACATGTGTATAGATGAACAGCACCAATTGTAAGCAATAAAAAGAACTGTCTTGGATCTAGTCCAATTGCAGAAATACTACTGGACCGCCCACATTATATTCGAATCAATTTTTATATGAAAAAGCTTTTCATTTACGCCTGAATAGCTTTGCAGATCTCATCAGCAGTCTTTCCAGCTTTCCTTAGGGTGATAGCAAGGTTTTTAGCCCTGTTTGATTCCAACAGTGTGACTTTGTTTGAGCCTTTTTGAGTTATTTGCTTGCTTGAAGAAAGATCAATGGCTGGGCCTTGGGCTTTTGTCTTGAATATTTCTTCAAATTCATCCACATTTAAATCCTAAGACAGAAACCAAACAGAAATGAGAAGCAGGTCAATCAGCAGTGAGAGGGAAAAGCAATGGTGGAGAAACTTACAATTTTTGGACTTAAGTACTATTGGACACTGGAAGATTATAAACTAGCAGCTTCTAATCTTTCTTTCCTTTTTTCCCCTTGCGTGTTCTTTTTTCTTTGCTTGTTTTAAAGAACCTTTTCAGCTCTAAGTTGCATGTAAGTTTTCTCCAAGTTCTGGGGGATGGCCAGGAAAGGAGATGGTCTTTTGATCCAGGGAATCCAAAGGTCCTCCTGCCAACCACAGAAGGCCACCTTCTTAGCCTTATTGCTTTGGCGGCATTCATGGTGGGGAAAGCATAGTGCCAACAGTCCAGTGAGGGCACCTGGAGCAGAACACCCGGACAGGGACCACAGACTTGCACCCAAATGAATTAAAGATGAAGTGTGTCTGTTGCAGTCTAAGGAGCCACTAACTAGTGGGCCAAAGAGCAAAGAGAGCAAAGAGTAATAAATGCTGAAAAAAATCTTAAGTTGAGGAGAGAAGCCCTTCCAGATCTAGGGATGGAGGCAGTCAAAAATGAATGGAGGGAATGGGCTCCATTCTTGTTCCCTCCTATAGATGCAGGGAACAAGGAGGAGTGGGGCTCCCACCCAAATTAATGCTTAGCTGTAGAAATGTCCCGACAACAAGCTCCATGCAGACACAGAGCCCATATCTGTGATGCATAGCAACCATGAAGAGGACCAATTCATGAATTCCATGCATAATTCATCTGCATGGATTCATGCTTGTTATACAACTATCAGCCCCTGAAGAAAGAAATCTACACTTTCAAAATGATTAGGTCATTAATAAAAGTTTTTCTTTGGCACTTGACACTTTTTTTTTTCATTTTTCCCCACGTTGCTTGCTTCTTATTCAGTTTTCCAGCTACCCCATCAGCCAGCATGCTCAGTCCTCATCAGGTTATTTTTGCTTTCCTCACCTGATTTCTAAAGGTTTTGATTGTTATGTTTCTGTAAATCTTGGATTTCCTCCAAGCCTGTCACTTCCCTCCCTCTTGTGTGTGAATGAGGCAATTCTGGCTGCATAAAGGACTGGCACTTGGACAAACTATTTTAGTGTTTTCAATAAAGAAAAATACTCTATTTACATAGTAGATGCTGGTCCCAATATTCAGTGTTACTTAGCACAGCATTCAGCTGAGCACTTTTTGTGTGTTCTTTTAAAAATTGTGGACTATACACAGTCCTGAAAAGGACATCATAGCATCAATAGCATCCTATAAATTCAGGCTGCAGTCATAGTGGCTTATAATGGGAAAAAAGTAGCAAGTAGAGAAGCCATTCCAGGCATCCAGCCTCAATGTGCGGACCAATGAAGAAGAAGCAGGTGACATGGGGAGGGAGCCGTGTGCCTTGGGACAGAAGTTCAGGTGCAGTGTTGCTCAACACTGGAAAAGTGAAGAACTACCCACCAACGAACTGATTCTAAAAAAGATCCTGGACTGTGCAGAAATGGATAGATTGACTTTATCATTGAAGGAGAAGGAAGATACTGACTTCTGTCAAACTTGGGACTCTTTTTATTATTGGCTAGAGAAACGGGACTTGGCTTAGATTTAAATATGTTTTTAAGTTATCATAAATGGAAAAAGAAGGGTGTGGGGGCTGACCCAGCAGGCCCGACGTTTTTGATGACTGATGTTGTTTTTAGTTTTTTCTTTGTTTTTTAGGATTATAATTTCAAATAAAACTTATAAAAAAAAGAATGTCAGGTGCAGTGGCTGATGCCAAGAGTGGGAGGCCTGTGAGTTGAAGGGAGGAAGTGGAAAGCATGACATTCCCCAGATTAATCCTTCTGAAAGTAACCTGCCTGCATGTGGAGGGAAAGGACAAAAGTCCAGTGTCCAGAAAGCTGAATTGCAACATGTAGAAAGAAGCACTGATCAGTACTCCTAGTCACATAAATTCAGGACAGTAGAACAGATCAATTACTAATGCCTATGGACTATTAAATTACCGCTAAATACTTTTGTCAACAATGTGTATGACAGCAAAATGAACCCTTTAAACATATAACTCATGCACTGAAAAATAACCCACCCCACAGACCCTCACATCCAAACCACAATCATACCTCCAAGATCCTTTCGTCATCAATTTCATTGAAGACTGTCCCATTTATCTGGTTGGGTTTCAGAGCTACCCAGTTGAACACTGGCATGCGGAACTTCGTCTTAATTGGCTTCTTGATTTTCACAGCTTTAAATGAAAGAGAGAGTGCAATCTTACATTTCAGAAGAGCCAGTAAAAACATTTGAAGCAATCCAACAGCAATGCTAAGAGATGGTGCTTTCAACACTGGAGGAGGTTTAGCAAGTGCTAAACAACTACTGTAAGACTGGAAAGTCTTGAAAAGTAATAGGCAGATTTTCTCTGTAATTCAGTAGGTTTGCCTATCACTCATGAAAATAGCTGATTACAGCCATGTTCTGATTTCAATATATGTACAGTTTTCTCCCTTATGTTCAAATGAAGCTGCAATCCTATATACACTTACAAATAAGAGCTCAATGGGGCTTATTCCTGAGTCAGCCATGAGTGGGCAACATGTGGCCTACACAGACTCCAGTCACCATCATGTTCATTTTGCCACCAAAAACCAGCATCTTATCAACTATTATTTTGCCACTGCTGCTGAATTTTGTGGAGGAGGAGGAGGAGACAAGAATGCCTCCTGAACCTCCCCAAGCCACTCACTTGCACAGCTCGTATACACAGAATTGTAATATAGAAGATGCAAATAAGGTAATCACTGCAAGAAGCATATACCCTGATTTTTGGTCAAGCAGCTGGATACTCTGTTACCCCTATGTGATTTTAGCAATACCCCCCAGTAATTTACTGCTAATACTCAGACCTTACTAAAATTCACAGAACTGCAAAAACACTTGTTTGATGGAGACAATGATGTCACAGATCACTATTTAAGGAAGAATAACCCTAAATTCACCTACCCATCAGAGGACTAACACTCTCAGTTTCAGTGAAGTGAAGGATGGTTGCAAAGCATTCAACTTCATGGACAAGCAACATCTACGGGATAATGGACATGATCCTGGAGTCTATCAACTTAGTGCAGTCATGTAAGAACTGCAGGGTATATATGTCATCTTTGTGTTCCTATCGGCAGGGGCCCCATGTAATCCAGCATTCAATCATTAAACACAATTAGCATCACAAAATGTTTGAGGGTGCACTCCTATGGCTCCTCACCTGCTCCAGCTTGCCATGCCATGGGGCATCCTGGGAGTTGCAGCACTCTTTTCTGCCTAATCATACATAGATTTGCACCCTAATCCCCGCATATTACATTTGCTTAATAAGCCACTCAATCACTGTAACTGTATTTCATGCTGAAAATGCAAAACAACTGGAGTTTTGGAGAAACATGAAGTTCAAACTACTAGAGAAGTGACAGGAATCTGCAGTGTCTGATTTAAAAAAGATAAAGTCAGTATTTTAAACAATAACAGAATAATCTCCAGTTTCACCACAATCAGTTCTTGGACTACTAGCCACTTTGATGCTTTTCACTATGTAACTATACTAAATATGTGAAAATAGCTCTAAAGAGGTGTTTTCCTTATCAACTAATGGAAAAACTAATAGGCTGAAGTGGGAAAAGGTAGGTTAATTGCTAAGAAGAAAAACCATTTCTGAGTTTCCAGCCAGGGGTATGCTAGAATATCCTTCACCATAAATATTTAGTTATCTGTAATTTATTAATTATAAGCAGCTATCTTTAAACCATTCAGGAGATCCAGTAATAAAAATCAGAGGACTATCAGATGCCTGAAATAACGAAGTAGAATTTTTAAAATGGTCCTACAGTTTTAAGTGATTTCTTGAATCAGTCAACTAAACCAGTTTTTTTCTGACCCTCATATTACTAAGGGCTATTTCCAACATAAAACTGGGGACACTCAATCCAGATTTCAACATAAGGTGTCCCACACCTACAATGCTAGTGAATCCTTTCCTAAACAGAGAAAATGTTGCTCCTTTTTGCAAAAAGCACATCATTTAGCAGAACGGCAAACTTTCAACAGCATTCGTTTAGGACTGACTAGTGAACATTTCACTTATTTTGCTGGCTTCATTCAGTCTGCAAAAAAAACCCTGCTTCTCATTCCTCCAGTATTGAAAAACCATTAAGGGAACAATCATATATATGATATGACAGGAAAAAATCCCACGACTCCCAGCTATGCCTGTCCAGCATGAAGAGCTGGCTGAAGCATGCTGGGAGCTGTAGGGGCTTTTCCTGTTGAACCATGTGCAGACTGTGCCCTCTGCTGGTAAACTCGAATTGAAGCACACTGCTGATAAGGGAACCATTTTGTTGTGTTGGGATTTGTCCACCATGAAGCAAAGCATATAGAAACCACATTCCTATAGAGCAGCATTATTGATATGTGAAGGCTTGGGATGGCTACAACCACGTTATCTCAGTGACCTCCTTTACCTTTCCAGTGCTTCCCCAACTCTCCAACTACCCTACCAAGGCTAGATATTAACTCTCCCTTCATGCCCATTTCATGGTTCCAATTTGGAGCATTTACTGCTGCAGTTACTGCATTACCCTGCAAGTTCAGAAACTGTAGAAATGTGTGTAAATTTAATGGCTGGAAAGTAACTGGAGGTGAAATTTGAGCAAATGTAATAGCTGGGAAGAACACGGAGGAGAAATCTGCTCACCTGCATTAACTGCTCCATTACTTGTAGGTACACAAATTTCCCATCTGCACTACCATGTCCCTCCTTTCTCTTACTGTTATTTCTCATTCCTCCCTCAGTCTTTCACAAGTGTGCTCAAGTTGGCCAACAGGCAACCTCATCTTGTCAACATTCTTACAGACAGCCATAGGTATACCTGAGTGCTTGTGAAAGAATGACAACATGGTATTATTAATAAAAGTTTGCAACCTTATTTGCACATTTGTGAGGCAGGGAAGCATGGTTTTTGCAAGCTAGGGAAAAGGCAGTCCTTCCCATGTGCTCTTTCAGTATTGGTGGAATGGCAGTCACTGGTGAGGTTGCAAACAATGAGCTGCTCTGCAGCAACCCACAATAAAACTGGCTTCCTGGGTCCAGGCAATAAGTTGTGGCAAGATGCCAACAACAATCCATGGCTTTTCTATATGGCTTGTTCCCAAAAAATAAGTCCCCCAAAGGAAAACAGTCAGGGTCCAGATGACACGAAAACCCACCATGGCAGGCTGCCCACGGTGGGTTGTCATGCCTGCAGCAAGGGCTGAGTATGGCCAGGTCTGCACATCTTGCCCAGTAATCATGAGAATGAGCAATACCATGTGAGCTGTTTGTGAGCAGTCCATGGTGTGCCCTACAGGTGATGGGGCTCATCATAGCTTGTTTTTCTGCTCCTACTGCCTCCGTCCTCCAGTTGGCATCTCAGTGCCCTTCCTGGCAGAATCTGCCTTGTCTCCCCGTGCGCACACTGATGTGGTATAGCTCTTTTCATTCACTCTTTTTTAATCTCTGAAAGCCTCAAAAATCCAGATTTGGGGTTGTACTTTTAATTAAGTACCAAGTAAGAAAGACCAAGACCAAATTTGTCAATAAAGCATTGATTAGAGCCAAAGCAGATATTATTTTAAACCCATGCTCAGCAGTCACACCTTCTTTAATTTTGCCCTAGAGTGGGCACAGCTCACCTGATCTGGAGTGCAAGTCTTGTGTACTGTAGGGAGCTTTTAAGAGCTAAGAGTCAAGACCTACCCTTAAGTAAAAGCAATCAGTTGCTAAGTGTAGATTTAAAGTAATATCTGTTTTGGGCCACAAGTTAAAAAGCTTGGTGATGTCTTGGTGAACCCAGTGATAACTAACCACATGTAGAAGTGATCTGCTCTAGCAGGGCCTTGTTTCTCAGGCAACCTATTTGTAAAATGTAATGCTCACTTACTTCACTTATATAAGAAAATGAAAGCAATGGTGTTATAAAGCTCTGTACCAGGATGATGCTTTAAGACAACTCAGAAGCACTTCATGCTTTTAGATAATGTAAAAACACAGCAAGCCAGTATTTAAAAGTGACACACACATACACACGTGACTATGATAACAGGACAGGAAACTGACACACTGAAAAGTAAGGGTAAGAAGTATTTAAAATACTTAGCAAAAAGGAACCTACAGAAAAGCTTGATTGGCCCGTCTGATAAGGAAGCAGAGGGAATAAATAAGAAAAAGTTAGCTATGGTTACAAAATCACAGATTAATTATCCATTCCTGAAAAGAATAATGCTATCTAGGACTTATTCCACCAACTCTTTAGAAAAAACCAATAAGGACTCCTGGGAAAAGCAGGTTGCTTACCTGTAACTGATGTTCTTCAAGTGGCCATCTGTATTCACACATATGGGGTTGCTGCGCCTGCGCAGTGCCTAGGCCAGAAGATTAGAAAGCTAACGGTTTTTGGCGGGAAAACTCCGCTCCCCTCCCCCTTTGTGGTATAAATAGAGCGGAGTGTCCGCCATTTTGCTCAGTCTTGAAGACCGCACGTTCACCCTCTAGAGGTTAAAAATAAAGTAATGATAAGACACCATTATATTCCCATGGTACCGATGTGAATTATAGTACGGTACTGAGAACAATCTCTAGTCAGCGATATAACCTCCCGGTACCGATGCGATTAATATTTTGGTACCAAAAAAAAAAAAAAAAAAAA